ATTCAGAAAGTCCTGTGGAGTCCTGTAGCTCAGTGGTTAGAGCTCTCGCTTTGCAAGCGAGAGATCTGAGTTCAATTCCAGGCAGGGCGAAACCTTGGGCAAGTTTCCTTACTCCACACGCCTAATAATCCCTCCAAAACAAAAAACAATAATAAATTGGTCATTTTCAATCTACGACTGTTTGTGGGACATCGCTGTGCGCAATTGGCTGCCGCGTTCGCCCACAATATACAGTCAATTCACTTTACAGTCTATTCTGTGAAGCGCTTTGGGACGTCCTCCCGACGTGAAAAGCGCTATATCAAATGCAAGGATTATTATTATTATTATTATTAACTATAGTATAGTTATTGTGACTATAGCTGCTGTTATTAACTATATTATAGCTGTTGCTGTAGCTGTTATTATTAACTATATTATAGCTTTAGTTGTTGTTATTAACTATATTATAGCTGTTGGCTGCAGTTGTTATTATTAACTATATTATAGTTTTTGTGACTGTAGCTGTTATTATTAACTATATTATAGCTGTTGGCTGCAGTTGTTATTATTAACTATATTATAGTTATTGTGACTGTAGCTGTTTTTAACTATATTATAGCTGTAGTTGTTGTTATTAACTATATTATAGCGGTAGTTGTTGTTATTAACTATATTATAGTGGTAGTTGTTGTTATTAACTATATTATAGCTGTAACTGTAGCTGTTATTATTAACTATATTATAGCTGTAGCTGTTATTATTGCTGTTATTAGCTGTGGCTGTTGTTGTTATTATTAACTATATTATTAGCTGTGGCTGTTATTATTATTGTTATTAGCTGTAGCTGTTGTTATTATTGTTGTTGTTATTAGCTGTGGCTGTTGTTATTATTGTTGTTGTTATTAGCTGTGGCTGTTGTTATTATTGTTGTTGTTATTAGCTGTGGCTGTTGTTATTATTGCTGTTGTTATTAGCTGTGGCTGTTGTTATTATTGTTATCAGCTGTGGCTTTTATTATTATTGTTAGCTGTAGCTGTTGTTATTAACTATATTATTAGCTGTGGCTGTTATTATTATTATTAGCTGTTATTATTATTAGCTGTGGTTGTTATTACTATTATTGCTCTTATTAGCTGTAGCTGTTATAATTATTATTTGTAGCTGTTATTAGCTGTGGCTGTTATTATTATTGGTGTTATTAGCTGTGGCTGTTATTATTATTGTTGTTATTAGCTGTAGCTGTTATTATTATTAGCTGTGGCTGTTATTATTATTGTTGTTATTAGCTGTGGCTGTTATTATTATTGTTATTAGCTGTAGCTGTTATTATTATTAGCTGTGGCTGTTATTATTATTGTTGTTATTAGCTGTAGCTGTTATTATTATTAGCTGTGGCTGTTATTATTATTGTTGTTATTAGCTGTGGCTGTTATTATTATTGTTATTAGCTGTAGCTGTTATTATTATTATTGCTGTTATTAGCTGTGGCTGTTGTTGTTTTTGTTGCTGTTATCAGCTGTTGTTGTTATTGTGTTATTAGCCGCCAGACTACGGCACTACCTCACCCCTCACGCGGCTGCAACTCTGATCCACGCCTTTATCACCTCAAGGCTGGACTATGGGAACTCTCTCCTCGCCGGCCTTCCCGCCACCTCCCTCCACAAGCTGCAGGTCATTCAGAACTCTGCAGCTCGTGTACTGCCCCGCACCAGGCTTCCGGACCACATCACTCCCACCCTCGCTCGCCTCCACTGGCTCCCCATCCCCCAGAGGATCGAATTCAAGATCCTCATCCTCACCTACAAGGCCATTCACGGCCTTGCTCCCTCCTACCTCTCCGACCTACTATCCCCCTACCTACCTGCCCATACCCTCCGTTCCTCTGGCTCCGGTCTGCTCCACATCCCCCGCCCCAACCGCCCTACCATCGGTGGCCGAGCCTTCAGCCTCTCAGCCCCCAGGCTCTGGAACTCTATCCCCCAGTGCCTTCGCCGCGTCCTCCCTTTCCTCCTTCAAGGCCGGTCTCAAGACCTTTCTCTTTGACCGTGCCTTCAGCTCACCTCTCGACTCTCTACCCCCTCCTCGCTCCCTCCCTTCCCTCCCCTCACCCTGACCATTTCCCCCCTCCTCGCTCCCTCCCTTCCCTCACCCTGACCATTTCCCCCCTCCTCGCTCCCTCCCTCCCTCCCCTCACCCTGACCATTTCCCCACTGCTCGGGTCCTGACCCAACTGTACAGCGCCTTGGGACATCCTCCTGACGTGAAAGGTGCTCTATAAACGCAATCTTGTTGTTGTTGCTGTTATCAGTTGTTGTTGTTGTTATTGGCTGTTGTTGTTATTGTTGCTGTCGCTGTGACAGACTGACGCCGCCCCCGGTCCCGGCGCTGTCGCTGTGACAGACTGACGCCGCCCCCGGTCCCGGCGCTGTGGCTGTGACAGACTGACGCCGCCCCCGGTCCCGGCGCTGTGGCTGTGACAGACTGACGCCGCCCCCGGTCCCGGCGCTGACTGGAGGCCGCGGTTCTTCGGCTTTTTTTTCTCTCCCCGTGAACACGCGGCGCCCGCGCGGCCTCTACCTGACGGCTGAGCACCGCTGAGCGGCCTCCGGCTGCCCCGCGCCGCCGCCGCCGCCGCCGCTCCCCACCGCCACCGTGAGAAGCTCAGCAGCCGCGTCAGCGCCGACCAGCGCCGCATCCTGACTCCCCGCCGCCGGAAGTGACATCCCCGCCGGAAGCGCATCGACCCGACCACCTCGCGCCGCCTGTCAATCATGGTCATGTCATCCTGAACTTGAGACTGTGGCGCCACCCAGTGGCGGTGTCGTGTCACTATCGCCTCTCAGGCTCAGGCTCTGCTTCACCCAAGAGTAATGATCATCATCATCATCATCCTCCTCCTCACCTTTGCCACAGCCCCTTCCCACATAAATGCAGCCGCCGATTTATGCCCAACGATGCCCCACCAACAGCCATGGAGTGACCGACCGGTCTTACTGGTATGAGTGTTGGCCAGGAAGGACAACAACAACAACAACTTGCATTTAATACCGCACCCATCTCACGCAGCGTAGCGTCCAGAGAACCTCCCGTTACTTTTGGCACAGTTGCCACGGGATCTTTAACGTCTATCGCACCGGGCAAGTAGGACCTCAGTTTAACGTCTCATGCAAAAAAAAAACAACAACAACAACAACACCGCAGCATGCGGAGTCGGTCCTGCAGCCTTGTGGTTGGAGCGCGCGCCTGGTTTGATTCCTCGGCAGCGAAAAACGGTGGACAAGTTTCCGTATTCCACATGCCTCTGTTTCTCCAGCAGTGTGTGGGAACCTGGTTGTTAAGTCGATTGGCTGATCGCTTTTCCAGGAGTAATAATACCTTAAAAAAAGAATAATATGGACACTCAATCCACGACTGTTTGTGGGACACCGATATGCACAATTGGCTGCCATGTTTCACCCACATAATCGTCAGTTCACTTTATTCTGTGAAGCGCTTTGAGACGTCTCAAAGACATGATAAGGCGCTATACCACAATGCAAGGATTATTATTATTTATGACTCCCAAGCACTGCAGATTTTATTGGATTTTAGACGACCTATACAGTTAGCCTGTAACTCAGACTTCACGTATGTCATCGGAAAGGTTATTGTCCCGACCGATCCAAGTTTTACTGTATTCCTAAAGTGGCTCATTGCAAATTCTTGAAAGCCAGAAAAGTGCTGGAGAACAAAAAGTACAACGTGTTTTATGCATAGCGCTGGTATTTAAAGAAATTAATGAACAATGGACATGTGGAGCTTAAAATGTTAAGGGAAATGTCAAATGTTGTTCTCAAACATTCCTTACTGGTGTACATTAATCCTTTAACAATTGATTTTTCAGTTTGTGTAAAAACTAACTTCAATAGTAACCAAGGTGGAACATATTCCAGGACACATTTACACTCGAGCAATCATCTATTTAGTACATTATGGGTCAACAATGTATTATTTACTGCTGCTGGTAGTCAGCTCTTCATCCTCAAATGGTTTCATGTGGAATTACCCTTTGGTCTGTTTACAGGGAGAGAATCAGATGTAAATCAGATCTTTTTTCCACAATCAATGGTTTACAACAAATTGCAGTTATATAGCACCTTTCACATAACAGAATATTTTACACCACAAATACACCAAACGGGGAAATCAGATTTATGTCTAGTGACCAAATAGCACAAACGAAATTAAGTAAATCTATTTTTAGATACTTGAAGTGATTACAAGGCAAAGTGGTTTTGGAAAGAGTTCCAAATATTAGGACGCTGTGACTTGATTTTCACTGTTCATATAACATTTCTACAATATTTTGACTAAGCCAAATGTGTTGTTAATTGCAACTTCTGTCTGATTATTCGATTCACAAATTGTGAATCAAAATCTCAAGTTGGCAAAGTTCAAAAACATTCAGGGAAGCAAAAGTCAATATTTTCAGAGTTTGCCAATTTACAAAGATTTTCCACTTGCCACAAATTAGCAATATATTTGCAAACCGGAAGTTATTTAATACAATGAATCAGATTTGCTCACAGTTCTGACTACATTAATACAAGATTTTCAGCAGGTATCTGGGGGAAAAAAAGTGGGACTACCTTTTCTTGATCGACAAGCAGCAGATGATCAATGAACATTTTTGCTGCATCACAATAATGAAGTAGAAAAGGCAATCTTGCCTAGATGTGTCGGAAATTCACATAACCCGGTATTAGATCAAAAAAGTCTTATACATTCATCTCGTCCTACATCATGGGTAACTATGGTCATCTATCTTCTTATGGTACATAGAAAAGATGATAAACATAAAGGAGAATGGAGGGCAGAAAATGAAAACTATTTGCTGTCAATGGAATATTTATTTGAACTCTTTTATTTTGTATTTCAGCAGTATTAGCCTGTAGGCGACTAGCCTCAGAATTCAGTAGCCTGGGGAAGAAGGAGGTGTACTTTTCTGACAACCTGAAGTACTATACACAAGACAGGGGTTCTGCAGAAATTAATCTCCATCTTTATTTACAGATCCATACAAAATTACAATGCCAGAATTCAATTTAACAAATTACATGAAACTTTTTGAAAAGGCCATAGTATTCATAGAACATATTACAGTATAAATATCTTTTCTTTTTTTGTACGTGGAGATGAAGTAGGCCAACAAAAAACATCTCTGAATTTGAAAATAAACACAATAAACACAACTGATTTAGGCTGGGAAGGTGAGCATTTTACACCTGGGTTTTCACTGAAATATGAACATGCCCATTTATCCCAAGTGTATTGTAATTTTGGAATGATTTCTATTCTGTACCTTTTGTGCATGTGAGACAAAAGTACAGGACTCAATTTGCACATGTGTAACAGTAATGGCTACTGTACAGGACAGCAATATTTAATCACAATAAATATATCCAGTATTGGCTGGGCACCTGAGATCTTTATTATATGCATTAAAGGCAATAGTGCGGGCACAGGAAATAGAGCAGCAACACTGAAACTCAAAATGTCCATTTGTTTTAAACAAGATTTTGAACTGAATATTGAACTGCAACTCCAAATTGAACTGGATTTATCTGCCAGTGAAAAAGACCTAATAAAAATGTACTCAACTTTACAAGGAATCTCTATCACCAATTGTCTCAACACACATTACGCCTTCCAGTCCCCTTCCCCCATCAAGTGCAACATCCTTTAATATTTTGAAATTGCAGTGAAAATCAACATGGGTATGATTTTATGTTTGCCTGTAAGATCCACAAATGGTTGGAAACCATTATGATTTATCTAGTTATTTTTAAGCCACAACAAGTTATGCTTGCTTTGTAACACATCAAGTGATATTTTCAGCAAGGTTATTAATGTGACAAAAAAATCACTGGTTTATTTGGGACCTTTTTTTTAAGGGTGAAACAAGTGTAAAATATCAGTGTTTAAAGTCTAACAGAATATTGCAACACATTACACTAAAATGCAGTGTTCAATGTTATATAACCTGATGGTAGAAATTATGCATTGAACATTACAATGTAAAGCAGACCTGTGCAATTCATCTTGATCATGTGCTGGCCTAAAATGTACCAATCTCTGTGGATGCCTTATACTCTCATGTAAATCATATAACCCACCCACCCCACCCCATCCTGAGAATTCAACTAATTTGGGCCACTTTTTAACTATGTGATGGAGCTTGGGTTGCAATTCATATTGCTGTAATAATTGCAAAAACGGTTCTAATTCTCTTTCCTGCTCCTTTAGAGCAAAACAAAAAATGAAAATGACAATAATTCTTAAGATTCCGAGAATGTTAAAGATATGCCATAACTATTGCCCACTATACTCAGTCAGCTTTTTCATTATGGTTTGCCTCCGATTACATTGATGACATTGAATTATTTAATGGATAATTCTAAAAGAACTGCAAGGCAGTAAGAAGGCATTACAAAGAAGAATAAAACTCGAGTAAATCGAAGACTGAATAACTGCCCTGCAACACTCTTAGAGGCAGTGGTAATATTTTTTGTTTCAACCATTGCAGACAAAGGACAACATCCAACGTATGATGCCAAATTCACCAAATTGTACACATCCCAGTCACCCTGTTTCCAAATCTAGCTTAAACCCACTCAATTTTTTTTCAATAACAAAACTCATTATTTCAGTTTATTTCAAAAAACAGGTAGAATTAAACTAGCCAAATAAATGATTACAAAGATTTATGACAAACACTGAAACAACCAGGTGTTTGCTACATTTTTATATTTCTTTGTTTTTTTTAGTAAGAATTGTCTGATAAAAATACAAAACAAGGCAACAGTTTCAGTTTGCATGTATTTTACTCAAATCTTCTAATTTGACTTAAAAAAATGACCAAATACTTGCGGTCTCCATTTTATAAATCAGGTAAACCACACTGATGTTTTTAGTTCAGGTACAATGTGGATACTCACATTTCCTGTTATAACATCACACTTAAGATCTGACAGTTAGTTATCTGCCAATAGTCGTAAGAAAAAAATAAAAAAGCACACTACCTAAGAGCCTTGCAAAACTCAGCAGCTCACAGAAGACAGTTGGTCCAAACCTATAAAATTGTTTAATGTAGACATATGGCTAACCTTGTTATGGTTTCGTCACCGTTCAGCAACAAATGCCTCAATAGTTGATCAGCCTAGAAATGCTGTTCATCTCCGAGCTGCTATAATAGACACAGGCATAACCTGTCAAACGGGAAATGATGCACAATCAAAATATAATTTTAAAAAATCTGAATTGTAGAAACAAGGACAAGGAAAAGAACAGCTCAGAAGCCAAGAGTTTTCTTTGTTGCTTCCCTACATGTAATTGAATATGCTTCAACCTGCCAAATTTAGTAACTTCTGCATTTGTATTCAAACGTACAGCATACATTAAAAAATCCCTGGTACAAACCACAACTATACAGAGGACAACCCAGTTGTTTATCAGTGTATCATTCCGGTGTGCTATATAGGTCTGGTTTATAATTAGTATGGTAAACCTCTGCCTCTTCCTCCTATGTTTGATGTGTTAATACGTCCACTGTAGGCGTGAGAATAACCTGCTCCATGTCCAGGGGATCCCCAACTCTGTCCATGAATAGGGCCACTGGAGGCTAGGTTTTCCTGTCTGTTGGCAACATAGCCATAATTCTGCAGTTTTGTGGCAAGAGGCACATTTGCACTATTAGTACTTTCAGGTACTGCTGATGGATTACTTCCAGTGTTTCCTAGAGGGGGTAGAACACTACGGCTGTAATCAAATCTGTGGTCTTTATCACCTGTAAACTGCATGGTGCTGTTGAGGTAACCAATCCCTTCTCCATACCCAGTCACTGAGCTACAAAAGGTATCCGAATAGCCAGAAGGCTGGTGTGCACCACTACCATGAGATGAAGAAGCGCCAAATGCAGACGACACATTATCCAGAAGTGAGTGAGTGGGGGCATCTGGTCTGCCCAGAAAAGTTCCCATTCCACTACTGCCACCAAGTCTGTTGCCATAACTATCACTATTGTAATTACTAGATGAATAAGATGTTCCAAATCCATCGCCATACTCTGCAGCAGTTCGAATTTTACCACCCGGTCGGTAGTCAGCAGTAGTCCGTCCTTGGCCCTGTTCCTGGGCTTGGTGATGAGCTAAAAGCTCCAATAGTGCTGCCTTCACACCTGCAGCAGGATCACCCGCAGTACCAGGGCTGGCACTGCGCTGTGCTTCATTCTGAAAGTTTGAGACTGCTGAAGTAGGTGGTGGTTCTGGTGGCTCTGGAGGTCTCTGATCTGGAGGCAGGATTCGGGGGTGTTCAGGTGCAGAGGGTGGGTCTGGAACACTACGATCCAACTGACCAGAAGCATCAATGTTAAAATCTGAAACAAACGTATACTGAAATTTAACACTTTAAATCTTTCATTTTCACCACAGCTCTTCAAAAAATATATAAAAGGAGGTATGCTCTCTCTTCCTTTGGCATATATCATTGCTGCAATGCCCACCCTCAGCCAGAGGCAGGTAACTGACTAGCTACAAGGCTTCAATAAGCCTGCTCTGAACTGATTATAGCAAAATGAGAACAGGAGGAGGCCATTCAGCACATCAAGCCTGTTTTACCAGTTTATTAGATCTTGGTTTTAATCCCAATGTCTTAGTGATGACTCATCAGATTGAGCTAAAAGAATGTAGTTTCAATCCAAATTATGCCAATCCATGAAGATCGAATGCCGTGTGCAGTGGGAATGAATTTATTGCAGATTTGTACAGATTCACACAAAACTGAAATGTGATTAGCTTTACTTTACAGCAAACACATTTACCACCAATTACGTTTTCAGAGTCCAATAAACATTTCTTTAATGGAAGTGTGAATTATGAGCTCAGTTAAACAAAAAATATTTAAGTACAGTTTGCTACCAATAATTACAAATTAAGCACCCCAAGGCACTATCCCGCATGAAGGGCAGATTGTTGAATGTAAATTCACTACAAGTGCTCATAAGGGTGGTAAAATGACAGTGTGGAGTCATAAAGACCAGGAAGTGTCCAGGACAATCTTTAGTATGTGCTGATGTAACTGCTCGCAACCATGAAAAGGTGGAGGTACTATTGCACAAGACTATTGCACTGACGCGAAAGTGAATACAAATTGGCTAGTATTCCCACCACGATTGCTTTCTCATGACTCAGTTTAAAAGTGCATGTACGTGAATGTTAGTGGGGGTCCCCACTCATACCCAGCAAAGGGGAGGGGGAAGAGAAGAAGACAGGAGGAATCCGATCTATTAAGAAATTTTAACTCATACAACAAACAAATCAAAGTTCACAATGTGAAAAGTACTTGTAACTGTTATATAATTATTATCCAAATGCTTCAGTTAAATAATTTCTAGAACTTTTTTGTGAAATGCACTGCATTGCAACATACCAGATATAGTAGGGGCAGGTTCAAGTGGTTCCGGAGGCTGAACAGGTACCTCAACATCCGTCACAGCACTTTCTTTCTCTGGGACAGGTTCCTTTCCTTGTGGTTGCTGTTTCTTGATTAGCTGAGTCAGTAACACAGCAAGTGCGCTCTGGATGGTTGCTTGAGCGGTCTCAGGCTCAATCTTTGTCTGCGGCGGCTGGACTGCAGGAGGGAGCGGAGGCGGTGGTGGGGGTGGTGGTGGCTGCGCTGGCACAGAAGGAGTGACGAGTTGTGATTTCGGGACCTCTTTTTGTTGCTGCTGCTTGGCAGCGGCTGCCAGAACCCCAACTGGGAGGCTAACTGTGCTGAGTTGCTGCTGAGTCTCAGGATTCATTTTAATATTAAGTACTTGAGCAAGGTGGTCCAGACTAAGACTATTCTTAGATTGAAGCAGGTTGATCAGAATAGCCAGGTCATTCTGGTTCAGTGGCTGTCCAGTGCCTTTACCGCCTGCAGAAACAGCAACATCAAAATTATTAGCTGCATCATAATAGCTAATTAATTACCAGATTTAGATATAGAAGAGAGAATGAAAGATAATAAAACATTCGTCTACAGACATATATTTTAAGAAGCTTCCCATTAGCCTAGTCCACAAAGGCACTGGCCCAGTGCAGCACTAAACCAGGAAGTTATTGGTTTGATCTCAGAAGCAGCAATTGGTGCTACAATCGTCATTAGGGAGGGAAAAACAGAGTTCCTGATCACTATCCTGAGACGCCCCGCCCCGTCCCAAAAAGTGACCTGTGACAGCCAGACTTGACCCTGATGTCCCACCCAGTCAAATAATCTGCTGACCTCATGATCAACACTCACATGTATTATGTCTACTTAAGCAAAATACCCAAGAGCACTGAGAGAAGCTTATCCCAAGGAAAAATGAGTCAAATGTGATCAGGGGAGTATGAAATGGGATATAAAAACTTGTGTTTAAATTCAGGTAAGGAATAATGGAACTTTACAAGAAATGGTACAAGTTCTAAATAAACGCAACATAACAACAAAATTACATTTGGATAGCGCCTTTCACGTCAGGAAGACATCCCATATATTTATATTTTCAGTTGTTCTCTCAAAACAGCTATTAACTGGGACCATCAGTTTTAGAATCAAAATTAAACAGATGTACAGTGGCTGCAGCCCTGTCAATTTTTTATAAAATTGTGAGTAACTGTGAGGTATTCCTAAACTGTCCGATTATGCAAGCAATTATTTACAAACGTAAATGTGTCTGGACTGAACCTTAGGTGCTTAGTCATTGGATATCATTCAAATAGGGGTAGTGTTTAGAATTAAGCCAGCACTTTTCTTTCGGTGAGCTGGGAGTAGTAAAGATAAAAAAAATCATGCCATAGTTCCCATTCACAGCTACTATCAGATACCTTTGTTGAAGACGACACATACAGAAATTGGCACTCCCCAGTAATGATGTCCCATATGGGTGAACAGCGACACAAAGTTTGGGATCGCGTGTGAAGAGAAGATACTTCAGTGTGATACTGGAGTCTCAGCAGTTATGAAACCATATCTCAGAAAGTCACAGGGAGGGGAGAAGAAAGGACATCCAAGCCTCAATTTGCAAAGAATTATATGCAGAATTGTTTCTTCCTTTAAAATCTAGGGCATGAGGGTGGGTGCTACAATTGGCTCCACTATCCTTGGCGTCAGTATCCTGGGGGAGGGTGTAATGAACATACCAGCTGGGTTTCCTGCTCCACAAATGTCAACAAAAAGTGGTAGGCAGATCCGAGATGAGTACAGCATATGGTCATACTGTGAACAGTAAATGTTTAACCCCATGGTATAACATCTACTGTTCTTTATTGTTCTAGCTCTTACAAAGATAGGCCACTTCACCAGGATACTGCAGATCACCGTGGAAACATCACCCAGGGCAAGTCAAGACCTTCAGGGAAAATGATTTTTATATTTCTCTAGTTGATGGCTTACTCAACATTGACTAAAAGCTAACAAACTTTTTCAAGCACTGCTCATGTGATACGTCCCTCTACTCATTGAGCATTTCACTCATTTGCCATAGTGGTACAGTCAATAAAGCCAGCGTTTGAAAAGCAAAGTGGGAATTGTAAAGCTATGGGTTTATAGAGGTTGCACAGAAGCACCATATATTAAATAAAATAAAAATTATGTGCATTTTTTTAAAGATTGCCTTTTTAAATGGCTTTTTCTACCTACACGCCCACCTTTAATAAACATTTGCATCTGCACCAGACATAACTGTTGAACATTAAGAAGTTTACTATTTAGGTTTAATTTTCTTTGTTCTTTTGCCAAAATGTACTACACACAGTACTTCATAATTCCATTAAGATCTGATGAGTTATCTACTTTAGCATGGTAACTTTTTTCTTATTTCAAGTCCCACAAACATTTTAGTTTCCCTCTTATATATAGTTTTAGTAGATGCACTTCCACATCTTCCTCTGGTAGGCCTAGAGTTTCACCTTGCTCTGTAAAACACAAGTAAATTGCTAAAGTATAGTAAAAATAGAATTATGTTCCCTAGACTCGTGCTGTGCTGAGGTGCAAGCCAAATTTAGAGGAGTCAATTCAATATTCAGCTTTTATTTATATTTATAGATAATGATCGAGGTTGCTATGTTTTTTCTGCTGATTTAGGATAAGAGTGAAAAGCAAGTTACTTTATATTTCAGGGTGCCCCATAATTGCTGCTGAGAGCAGACAGAAATGGTTGCTTCCATTGGCAACTGACTTCAATCAGCCACTAGGTGATGTACAAAACCAACCCAGGGATTAACCTCTCATATTTTTTTTATTCCCTACAGGGAGTGGCTAGTTTCCATACTTTTTGGCTGCAATCGCACAGCTGACTAAGATTTGGATCATTAGCATACTTTAACTTTTTTAAGATTTAGCAAAGCAAATAGTAAACATAAATTCATTGTTTGTGAATTTAAGCCACAAGGTAGAATAACTACTTTTTTTTTGCTCACCAAGGTGTTTGAGACACACGGAAACCCAGAACAAACATTTTCTTTAAACAGCTCAATATTAATTCAGCATCAACGATCATACAATTTGGAGGAATTATTAAATATAGTGTCTGGGGAAATGAGTGGAGGGTCGGGGGGGAGAAAAAGAGGTTCAGAAATAGAACAAAAAGATAAATTTGCTCATCTGGAGGCAGTGTTTCTTTCTGTTTTGAGCTTTAATATAAAAAGATGTAGGGGCGAGCAGAGGATTGGGATTGAAGTGAAAAGCTGGGTGAAAAAGCTAGGACCACCGAAGACTTGATGGGGCAAATATCTGCCCTCTACTGTAAATTAATATGACAGAGCTTCATCCTCACTGAGTCTGATGCAACCAAGATTTGAGGACTTTTCATTTGCTGCAAATTTAATCCTACTATTAGATTTAAAAGTAAAAAATTTCAACCTTCAGATTTTTGGAGGGTCTAAATAAACTTCAGTTTCCCTGGATCAAGGGATTCTGTACACACGATTTGTAACATGATGCTGAAAAAACTGTTACAATAATAAAGCTGTGCAAATGTCAGAAACTGTTAATAATACTAGTTGTTCATTGAAAACAAGTGCTGAAATTTTAAATCATTGTAAATAAAAATAAACACTTCATATTAGTGCGCATTCGCTTCCATCTTATTTTCATTGTTAAATTAATTTTACTTTTTCCCTAACCTATCCTAATCATTTTCTTTCAAAAAAATTCTACTCATCTCTAATTTTCCACTATCCATTCTCAGATTGTGACGGCTTCCCTGTCAGCTCAGCAAGTTTATTTGCTGAACAGCTTATACAAAGCCTGGATTGTCTCAGATTTCTCCAGTATGTGCTGAGTTGTCTAATTTCAGGCAGGGAGCACGAGTGCCAACAATTGACCTCAATGCTCCGATTTAGAGGGGGAAAATGAGCACCTAAAATATCTAGGAAAAGAACTGCAGCAGTGACAAAAAGGCTGGATAAATTCTTAGTTTAAAATTATGTGCACTACATGCTCTTTGAGAATCAAGCCATTACTTACAAAATACCTATAAAAAGGTAGGCATATATCGAAACGTATGTGAAGAATTTACAACTTCTATATGTGCGACTGCCGTGAATTCAACTTTTCTTAATCTATAAACCTATGTGGTTTGTGAAATAATCTGGTAATTCATTGGTCAGCTCTCCAGAGCCATCAAATCCTAGAGAAGCATAGTGTAAGGGTGCATATGTAGCAACATTCAGCAAATGTGCTTTCTTTGGCAGGTGCCACTGGAGTAGCTCACTGGCCAATGTGAAATTACTGTTCTAATTAAATTCAATGGAGCAACTGCAGGGCATACCATCTTCCCAGCCAGTGACATCATAGCTACAGGAAAGGAATAGAGGTTGAAAAACATAAATGATTTTTTTTCTTCAATGCCTGGAAAGGAAGTGGGGAAGTGGAAAGAGGAGGAATGTACTGTGGACATGAAATACTTCCCTGAATTACTTTTCTGCATTAAACACGATGAGAACAGTCCTCTAACAGAACAAAATAAATGTACACGGTGGATTTAAAATCACACGAGTTGATCACAACTCTTGTATGCAAGAAATTAAAAAGGTTGCCGAATTATAAAACTAATCCCACAATCTATATATAATGTATACATTATACACAATGCATAATACACACATTATATACAATATACACATTATATACATTTATATAATGCATACATTACATACATTTATATAATGCATACATTATATATTGTACACACACTCAGGTGAACATGTTCTAAAGCATGTTTAAAAAATGCAGCGCATCAAGGGATTGACTGACAGAAATGTGAGCGGCACTCCTGTGGTTTTGCGCAGGCCTCATTACTGCCATTGCATTATGCCATGTGTAACCATTGCTTGGCATTATTCTCATCAAGGCAAGAAAAAATACAGAAAGAACACAAGCTTTATTAGAGGAAGTGTGTTAGCTCACAAATAAAAAGAGCAGCCATGTTTAGAAAAAGCTCTGACCCACTTTTTTAAAAAAAAGTAATGCGTACAAACAGTAGTGAACACCGGTTATCTTAATGGGGTTTCAGACAATTTAGATAACCTTAATGACATTGTACACAAGTAGAAACAAGAAAGCAAAGCACAAGAATGGATAGATAACTAACTTTTGGTTGTACACATTGACCTTGTAATAACTTTGTACTCCAAGAAGAATGAAAGAATTGAAAGCAGCAGGTGAGATCATTTTCTCATACTGCTCACGATGCAATGCAAGAAAAAACGACAAGCCAATGGGAAACCCAACTTTTTAGTAACTGCTCCAAGTTTTGAAATAGGCTGCAACCTTTCGCAGTGGAACATAGCACTGGTACAAGCAATACAAACTGCAAAGTAGGAAGGGGAAAGATGCATGCTGGCATATGGTTACACAGGTTCAAGTTACTATCCAATACCAAAGTTAGCATTTGAGTGTGTTCGCAGAGAGCATAGTGAGCATCACTGATGTGCTCAAATGAACATCCAATGTTATTGTATGTGCACATTCCAGAAAGGGATAGATAAATAGATTAGGAGCAGCAACCCTGCTGATTTCCCTGTTCTTTCTCTCCCCTCCCCACCATCAATTTGAGCTGGTTACCAGTATTATAATTGGGGAAATATGTATTAGTTTCTACTAATCGATGGGAGACTTTTTGTGAAACTGGGAAAAAATTAAGCGCAGAATGTTTTGTCAATTAGTGTCCTTTGTTCCCTTGTTCTCAACAATTTGCTCAGGCAAAATGCCAGCCCTAGTTCAATATTGTTATTTTTTTAAATTTCAATAAGCTTAAGAGACTTCTGCAAAAGATAACCGGGAATTTCATAAGTATTTATGTATAATTGGTCAGTTATGTGAAATTTTAAAACCCTAAATGTGTCAAATTTAATCTTATATGTAATTCTAAAACGCCAACTAGACTGCCACCCATTAAAAACAATTCTAATTACAGTAACACCCCCGTCTCTGGGTATCTGGATTCATTCCTAGCCATATCAGGCCCCAAACCAAAATTTAAAAAAAATCTGTAAGCTGCATGTAGACTCCCGACTCCTAATTCTCCAGCAGGCGCTAACCCCACACTAAGCAGCCTCACTGTCCTTCACAGGGGCCTGGGGTATCAACTTTGACTCAGATTGTATGAATCCCGCAAGCAGAAGATATCTTATTCACTATCTTCTGCTCGGGGGATTGAAACAATTATAATGCCTGTACCAGCATTTACCAGCACTTTTGAAAAACGTTGGTAAATGCTAGTACCGGCATGGCAATTACAATTAGCTGCAAAATCCGGCTCACTGGGTCAAATCTCCTCTCCATGAGTCTGGTTAGCCGGGGTTTAAGAGAAACGCACTGCAATCACTGGTAGAGAAAAATAACATCAGCTGGCCATGGAGATAGATAACAAACCTACCGAAAGTGAAAGGAGATAGGTGAAAGAGAGAGAAAACAGACTAGAAATAAAAATCAAAAAAAGCAATAGGAAACACAAGTAAGTTCTGATCTAACATATATATGATGTCTTTTTATGACTGAGTAACATTTGTGGTGGATGTTAAGCTTTTCATTTTATGTTTGTTAAGATAACTTTGGCATTCCTTTGATGCCATTCAATGACCTTACATTTTAATTTAACTCCACAGTTAACTTCAAAGTCTAACTCATAAAGCAGGGTTAGTAGAAATCAATGTTTATTTTTTTCTGGTTTTCTTCAGAAAAATTAGCTTTAACGTACAATTTAGATTTTTTTTAAGCCTCGATCGGTTGGGTGGTCCTTGCTGGACAAACAGCGGTAAAGTTTACCAGGCAGTGCTCTCAATGGTTTTTAGCTGGTTAGCCTCCAGCAGTACCCCAACACACACTCTGGGGTTTGTAAGTCATGGCATTTGCCTAATACCTTCAGAAATTGGGTAAGCAGGATGCATCCCTCCAGGGAGGTTGCGCATAGCATTCCAATCAACATTTCTGGAATTTCCATGTGTAGCTGAAATGCATGGAAATCTCAGTTTGGTTAGGATACTCTTAAAGCATGCTGATGGGTTTCCGCATGTGCCAGACACCCAGCTGACCACATTTTTTTGATAATTTTCAAACTTGGGATTATACAAATCGACAGTCAAACATCTGGGCTGCCAATGCTGCCATAATAAAAGTGCTCATTTCGGATACCAGGTAACGCAAGTCACTCTCACAACGAGTGACATTTTTAGACCTTTGACCCACTCACCTTTGCCCTAACTACGGTTTCTAAGGCCCCAGTCAAGCTCCAATTCATCTTTTTCCTCAATTCTTCACCTTCTGGCATTGCAAGAAAATGTATTTGTGGCAAATTGCGGAACATCTTAAGAGGGATCAATATTTATCTAACAGAGGCATAAGGTATGGAGATCCCCTGAAGGCACGTTTGCACGAGTTCCTTTTATTAATGAACATGAAGCTCAAATAAGAAAACAAGAAAGATTCACAAAGAACAGCGAAATCACTGACCTATTCCTATATTAGAATTGCCCTGAGATTTATGCTGGTAAAGTTGCAAGCTTTGAGGTGTATTATTCCGGCTATCATCCGTACTTAGGGCGGTGTCCTTACGAGGAGCTTTGGGTGCTGCAGCATCATCAACTCCCGACTGCTTTTGTCTTCGCCGTTTTTTGCTCCACAGTTCATGACAATCTTGCCAATGTGGCAGGCTGCAAAATGAAAATATGTAGAAGGTGATTTTACAAATTGTGTCAATAGTTTCAGCCTCCAATTCACAGAATGTGGAAACTTTTACACAAAGAGTAATTCCAGTTTATGCAAAAATACAATTCCTTTTTAGCTTTCGACACATGTGAACTTTAAGATTTTTGACTACAAAACGGTTGACTTCTGGATAGCAAATCAGCTCTTTTGTGGGTCAAAACAGATTTTCAAAAAAGTTAAAAAAACACATTTAACGTTCTATATCAAATGCAAGAATTATTCAACAATGGGAATTCATTTTCTTTGATTTATAGAACACAAGAACTGCTTGACGAAAGAAGACTAAATTCCATCCAGTTCACCTTCCAATGTCCTGGCAGTCGCATGCACAGGTCACGTCCCAAACTATATACTCTACCACAGAGTATTATTTCCTAAAAGAAATCTACCTAAATTGCTTTTGAAAGAATCAACAATTTCTGCTTCCATCATCTTCCTAGAAACATTTACAGCTCGCTTACTGAAATAGTATTCCTGCATTTAACCCCCCCCCCCCATCACCACCCATCAATACCATGTCCTCTGGTTCTACTGTTCTGGACAAGATAAAACAATTTATCATGGTCCACAAGATACAAAAACACAAGTACTGATTATTACAGATCAAAATCAGAAACTGGTGAACTTATACACAATTGCACAGTAAAGATTTGAAATGGTTAGAATATCACCACATTCAAAAAGTCACTTACTCAGGTGGAGGCATTTTTGTATGATCCACATCTCTGAGGAAATCAGACTGAAGAGCATGTTCAGCAGTACAACGCCTGCTGGGATCCAAAGCTAACATGTGGTCAAACAGATCAAGGGCAGCAGCCGGAATACTGGAAACAAAAACAACACAGCTATAATGGGAAAAATAAACTAGACTTCACACTTCACAAGTAAGATACATACTATAGTTATGATTTATTTCAATGAAAAACTCAAAGAAACCACAATTCCCTAGTTGAACAGTGAGCGTTTATTTAAAACCCTATAGTTGTGGATTCATTATAATGCAGTGGACTAGATCCAAGCACTCAGACTCCCCACATTAAAACAAAGTAATGACGGCCTTCTGGGTCATTGCATTTGAAAAGTGGTCAAACCTTTTAATCTTTACTTGTATTAGTCAGACACAATATTGACTTTAATAGTTTAAAAATGAGCCGTGTAAATACTCTCTTTAAATCATCAGATGCATTACATAAAGGTTTAGCATGAACACATTAAGATATGAAATTTGGTAAACAATGAACACTTACAAAGAAAATTCTTCTCGTAATCGTCGGCGATACTGCTTCTTTGGTTTCATTGTATGGAAATAAGGTAGTTTAATCACATCAGGCCACACCCCTGGACATGGGCTACCACATATTCGGCTAAGGAATAAAAGGTTGAACAGTAACTGAATATAAAAACTTCACTTCCTTTTTCCTCTCTAGATATCCATCTGATGGTTACAGAATTATATTCATTACAACATGAAGAAACTATATTCCAATTAGGAATGCAACCAGTTAGGGAGTTGTGTTTCCTCTCTCAAATGTCAAAAAAGAAGCATGATTTTAGATTGGACTATTTTATACTCAACATTCAGCTGATGCCAGGAAACACAAAATATACAGTGCATCCTTTTTAATCCTGGATACAGATTCACGATTAATATTCACCATCTGCTGACAGAGATCAGCATCAGGTCAGTTTCTAGGGATAAATTTTCTTGACGTTAATTCTAATTCAAGACAATTATCTAGGGAGCTAATCTAATGATTTGCTGGTTCACAATCAACAGGCAAAGGAGGAGAAAGTCCTAAATTAGATCTCAAACAGTTATATTCCACTTTGATCAAATCAAATTCTAATACATTGGACAGTTATTGGTAGAAATAGATGAAATAAGCCTCGTCATTGCTGCAAGAAATTAAACTCAAGAGAATGAAGACACTGATTGGCAATGTTCATTTTCAGTTGAAGAATGAATATTGAAAATTCAAATATTAAAACTCAAAATTGAATAGCAAGTAGAATATTCTATCAGACGAGGACAGAGGGGGAGGGGGAGTGTTGGGCCCAATTAGAGTTGAGGGAGTCAAGCAGAAGCGAGCACAAAACACACCAATGTCACTGTAAGACTGTTAAAAAAAAATCCCCTCAAGGATGGGATGTCGAAAGAATCCCTGCAGCAGTCAGAAGAATGCTGTGTTCCTGAAAAGATTAGGTTAATTAACAGCAAAAACTGACCCACAACAAATTACATTTGTATTGCGCCTTTCACGTTAGGAGGACATCCCAAGACCAAACTGACCCTTGCTGCCTGCATTCCCAAAATATTATGTTTTGTATAGCTAAAGACCCATTTTTGTGATATTAATGCATCATTAGTGGGTCCTCTTGATGTGAAAGTCACTAAGTAAATGTACGTTGTATTGACCTGCTTATCCCATATAAACGTGTCCGCTCCCACCACTCAGTAGGCTCCAGCCTGCTCCACATTCCCCGCCTTACCCACCCCACCATTGGCGAGTGAGCCTTCAGCCTCTCTTCCCCCACCCTCTGGAACTCCCATCCTCTACCCTCTACCTCACACACTCCCTTGCCTCCTTCAAGACTGTTGAACATGACCCCCCTCTTCAATTGTGCTTTCGGTCACCATCCTACCCCGACCCTCCACCCTCTATATGCTCCCCCTTGGTGACATCATCCGCAGACATGGGGTTAACTTCCACATGTTTGCGGATGACACCCAACTCTACCTTTCCTCCTCTACCCTCAACTCCACGACCACCGATGTCCTGACAGCTGCCTGTCCGACATCGAGTCCTGGACGAGAGACAACTTTCTTCAGCTCAATGTGCGCAAAACTGAGGCCCTCCTGATTGGCTCACGTCAGCGCCTCCGCACCTCAGGCGCTGACAGCATCAAAGGCTGCACTCTCCACCTCTCAAAGTCAGTCAGGAACCTCAGTGTTCTGTTCGACCCTGAGCTGTCCTTTCTTCCCCACATCCGGGCTACAACTAGCACTGCCTTCCACCACCTCGGGAACATCGCCAGACTACGGCACTGCCTCACCCCTCGCGCTGCTGAAACACTGGTCCACTCCTTTATCACCTCAAGGCTGGACTACACAAATTCTCTCCTCGTCGGTCTTCCCGGCACCTCCCTCCACAAGCTGCAGGTCATTCAGAGCTCTGCAGCTCATGTACTGTCCCGCACCAGGCTTCGCGACCACATCACTCCCACCCTCGCTCACCTCCACTGGCTCCCCATCCCCCAGAGGATCGAATTCAAGATCCTCATCCTCACCTACAAGGCCATTCACAGCCTTGCTCCCTCCTACCTCTCCGACCTACTATCCCCCCACGTACCTGCCCGTACCCTCCGTTCCTCTGGCTCCGGTCTGCTCCACATCCCCCGCCCCAACCGCCCTACCATCGGGGGCCGGGCTTTCAGCCTCTCAGCCCCTAGGCTCTGGAACCCCATCCCCCAGTGCCTTCGCCGCCTCCTCCCTTTCCTCCTTCAAGGCCGGTCTCAAGACCTTTCTCTTCAACCGTGCCTTCAGCTCCCCTCTCCACTCTCTACCCAACTCTCGCTCCCTCCCTTCCCCTGACCATGTCCCCCCCCTGCGCGGGTCCCGACCCAACTGTCCAGCGCCTTGGGATGTCCTCCCGACGTGAAAGGCGCTGTACAAATGTAATTTTTTGTTATTGTTGTGATCAATAAACATTTTAAATTTACTTATAATGGGTATTTTAATATGTTAATATAACCAGGATATTAGTTTTGTCCTCCCGACTCGAAGATCTCTGATTCTTAGGTCACTGAGAAATTGGGTATAAAATACCAGTTCTGTTACATTTGTCAAAGATGCACCTCCCTACCTCTCCAACCTGCTTATTCTCCACTCCACCACTCATTCTGGTTCGGCCTCTTGCATGTCCCTCGTCCCCTCCATTCCACCAACAGCGGCTGTGCTTTCAGCCACTACGCCCCGAAACTCTCTCCCTCAATCCCTCCGCCTTGCCTTTTCCTTCCCCATTTTCAGATCACGCCGTAAGACCTTCCTCTTCGACAGTGTCTAAAGTCACCTCCCCCTCCCAGCGTCAGACTCCACCATTGTTAAGCGCCCCGGGATACCACCCTGCGTGAAGAGCGCTATATAAATGCAAGTTGTTGTTGTCGTCTTGAGGTAGCTAAACTTCATCTTATTCTCACATATACTTAATACTGTCCTGCAGGGTACAGCCAACATAATGCTTAGGTAGTAATGTGGATGACTGAAGCAGGCTTGTCAGGGGAGGAAAACAGAAAACTACATACTGAAGCAATTAACAGTCTGAGATTTAAGCAAGTTTAAAATAGATTTGCCCTTGAACAATTTTACATCCTTACCCTTCAGCTATTAACTTCCAGAGATACAGGAGCAGGAAAAAGTTGGTATTTCAAGGTGGATTCTGAAAATCCTAGCTTATTCCAACCATTCGGGGAACATTTGGCCACGTTTCTATTGTAAGTACTAGATTTGAACACAACACCTACCTGATCAATTCCAACTGAGCAAGTTCTTGGTTTGCTTGAAAGATCGGCTTTTTCGTAAAGAGTTCACCCAGAATACATCTACGTTCAGAAAAGTGAAACATTTCAGCATCTGCAAAGCAGTATTTATTTACAAGCCGACATAATAATTTCATGTGGGGAATTAGCAGTTAGGAAACATTATGTAGAACACTTACCCACAGCTCCATACATCTATAGCTGGTGTGTATCGCTCTTCCCCAAGCAGCAGCTCCGGCGGTCGATACCAGAGAGTAATAACTTTATTGGTGTATGGCCGACTAAAGGGACAAATGGGTGAAAAAAATGGATCCTTCAAAACCTAATAAATGTCAATGTTAGCAATCTGTGATCTGTGTAGTAGACACGAAAAAAATGGAAAAAAACACTGGAGAAAGAAATTAACCGTACATCCCCCTCAAACCTCCAAATCCAACATTGTTAGTTGAACAACCTAGCAACAGCATTAAATGTAACAATACATGCCCAACGTAACCAGCTGCAAGAGTATTAGAATATGTACCATATGCACCATTGGTTTGAACACGTTAAGTCTTGTCAAATCACATGTCATTATTTAATTGGCAAATCTCAAGACAAAATAAAAAGCTTGCAGTCCTGCACATTTGCTAACAAAACAAAAGTAAGAAATACCCATGTGTGTAGTAATACATTTCAGAATGTATTTCAATCCAATAACCGAGAAGTTAAGAGGTCACTGCAAATAATATTTACCTTTGTTGCTAGTTATCTGGCATTTATTACAAGAGGTCTGGAAAAGAAGGTACTTCTCAAGTTATACGAAGCACTGGTTACAACTGTCTGTGAAGAACTGTTTCCTGGCCTCAGCTGTGTTTTGGATCTCATTTTAACCAAATTTGGAGATGTATGGTCAGGTTTGAGCACCTAGAAATGATATTCTAGCCTACGGTGGTATATTTGTCCAGAACTATCTAGAACAATGCCTAGACTAGAAGTGCCTTAGCTATGAGTAGAGGCCCGGTAGATTGTGTTTTTATATTCCTTAGAGAAGAGAAGATATGGGGTGATTTGATTGAGACATTTAAAATAATGAAAGGAATGAATAGGTTAGATACTCCTCACTTTCATGGAAGGATCTGTGACGGGCATCACCTGAAATCAACGACAAGCATTTATATAGTGTAATTAACATGGGGTAGCGTCCTGGAGCGCTTTACAGTGGCGGAGTCTAAGAACGAGGGAGAGGGGAGTTGTCCTTAATCACGATCAAAAAGGAATGTCTTTAGGCGGGATTTGAAGGTGGGGAGGAAGGGGACAAAGTGGAGAGATTAAGGGAGAGAGTTCCGGGGTGTAGTGGCTGAAGGCACGAGGGACAAACAGGAGGCCAGAGCCAGCCGAGTGGAGGCAGCAAGTGGTGGAGTGGGGGCTAAGCAGGTCAGATGGGGAGGGATGTGCGAGGTCATAGAGAGATTTGAAAATAAGTGAGAGAATCTTGAAATCAATCCGTTTAGTGACTGGGAGCCAGTGGAGTCTGGCAAGGACTGGTATGATGGGAGCACGGAGTTTTGTGCGGGTGAGTATCCGGGCAGCTGAGTTTTGAATTAATTGGATTTTGTGTTTGGTGGAGCTGGGAAGACCAGGGAGGATGTCATTAGAATAGTCGAGCCAGGAAGAGACAAAAGCATGGACAAGGGTCTCAGCTGCATTGGTTATGAAGTACGGACGGAGGCGGGCAATGTAGCGGAGGTGGAAAAAGCGGTCCCACGAAAAAAATCAGAGTGCAAGCATTTAGAGCTGAGATCAGGAAGCAGAGGTTTGTGAAGATGTGTAATTCTCTGACCCAGAGTTCTAGAGGCAGAATCGTAAGAGATGTTTCAAAGAGAGATGGATACTTGGAAAGTAATAATAGAAGATAAAAAGGGATATGGGGAAAGAGTGGGGCATTGGGATTAAAAATCAGCTAAAATCTAATAAACCGATGGAACAATCTCAAGAAGTCGATCTGCTGGGAGATGGAGAGCCAGTGGAGTCAAACGAGGATGGGGGACTTCAATGAGCAGGACGTTAGAGTAGAGAGCACTCTGTGTCGCTAGCCTATACAGGGTGATAAATAAATGCAAGTTGTGGTTGTTGCTGCAGAGCCTGGAGGTGACAAAGGAATAAATGAAGGTCTCAGCAGCCTGATGGAGCGAAGGTGGTAAAAGCAGACAATGTTGTAGAGGTGATGGAAAGCAGACCAAATGAGAGCAAAGGGGGGTGGGAAATGAAGGCATGGGCATATGGGGCCTGTGCCAAGGGGCTCCAGCCAGTGTCCTGCGTGGGGGAAACTGTCCTATTCACAGGCTGTGGGCAGCAGCGCATTGGGGGTGGGATGCTAACAGTGCCACGTGAAGCCCAGGCTGCCCCATGCTGGTGAAAGCATCCTATTTCCAGGGTACAGGACAGGGAGCATCACTCGGCACAGTTGCGCTGGGCTCTCCTAGGTTCATGGTGGGAACAGAAACCAACAGTAAATGCAAGAGTATAGCGCAGGGCTAGGCTCTTGGTTTTGTGTGGTGAGCAAGAATCCATATAAAGTGATGCAGTCAGCGCCTGAGATGAGAAACTGTGGAGAGGAACCAAGCAGGAACATCTCAGTCTTGTCAACATTGAGCTGTAGAAGGATAGAATTCATCCAGGACTTGGTGTCTGACAAAACAATCAATCAGAACAGCACTGGTCCTGAAATTGAGGCTGGAAGCAGAGAGATGGTGCATCGGCACCTACATGTGGAAGTGGACCCCCTAAATCCAGATGATGTAACCAAGATGGAAGCGTAGAAATGGTAAAGAGGATGACGGAAGATAAAGTCTTGAAGAATGTCACTGTGAAGTTGTGAGAGAAGGCATTTAAGGAGACTGAGTGAAGACACTATATATATATTAATAAAATCCTTGCATTTGATATAGCGCCTTATCACTCGAGACGTCTCAAAGCGCTTCACAGAATATCCTGTAACGTGAATTGACTGTATATTTTGTGGGCAAAATGCAGGAGCCAATTGGGCACAACCATGTCCCACAAACAGTCGTGGATTGAGCGACTAGAATTTTTTTTTTTAAAAAAAAGAGATCATTGTCCCAGAAAAGCAATCCGCCAATCAACTAACAACCGGGTTCCTACTTACTGCTGGTGAACAGAGGCGTGTGGATTAAGGAAACTTGCCCAACATTTCGCCTTGCCCGGGAATCAAACCCAGGTCCTCTCATTTGCGAGGCAAGTACTCTAACCACTAAGCTACAGGACTCCACTAGAACAGGTAAGAGTGAAACCAGGAAAAGGAAGGGAGGAGGTGGGAAGGATGGAGTAGTCAAAGGCATCAGAGAGCTCTAGTTATAGGAGAGAAAGGCATTGGTAATTTTGACAGGGGCAGTTTCTGTGCTTTTGGGCAGGGAGGAAACCATAACCGTTTAATGCAAATTTTTGCACTTTTAACATGAAAGGGATCAAATTACAAGCCCTTGCAATGGATGTATATGTACTACCTCATACAAACAGTGCAATTCAGATAAAAATAATTAAGATAAAATAATCCAGTAAGGATGTATGTAGGAACACCATGATTCATGTAAATATGTACGATAAGCAAAACAAATTGTAGATTTGATTATGAAGAGTTACGTCAACCTTGCATCAGACAGATACAGTAGATGCATCACCAGTGCACATTTTCTACACAAACTGCATGATTTCTTTTTTGCGAGATGCATACCAATGCAATCTGTATCTGTTTGTTGCATTATACAGATTAATAATCCAAAAAACTTATAATTGCACTACATTATTTTATTTCAAAGCATGGTTATTCTGAGAATCATTCACAATCTTCTATTAATTGAAGCGCTTCTTATAATGCAACATACCTTTCTTCAGAGTTGTACAGCCGGGCCAGCCCAAAATCTGCTAGTTTTATCTGCCCCCTGGTGGCAAAACAAAATTGTTTCATGAATGTCACTGCTTTTAAAACTGTATTGAACATATACCTTCATAAAGCGTTTTAACTTTCAGCTTAATTTTAGAATACTTAGTACAGGTGTACAACTGAAATTAACAATCAGTCTTGTTATATTTTTTTGAAACAAGTTGTATTTAAATAAACGTTTTAATAAGAGCAAGAGTGGAATGGCCAAATTGACTATTATACTCATTAAAACAAACATTTTCTTGCTTTCAAGAACACACAAACAACCATACTCAGTTAAGGCATGATGCAACATAGCAACTTTGTTTCACGCAGATTAATTTTAAATGCAACACCTTCCAATTTTTTTTAAACTTATACCATAGTGTGTATGGGACAGTTAAAAGTTCGGAGAAATTCAAATAAGTTCATATAACCATTTATATGAAACCATTCCCAAAAGACTTGTGGTGGAGGAGAAAACAGAATACTCAATTGGCCACTTGTTTTGCTATATTTGTTTCTTTATAGGTCTCCTGAAGACAACTATTATTATTTTATTATTATTATAACTATTGAAGTTGGACTGCCATTCCACACACAGAGGCCCTGCTGAATCCTTTTGAAGTGGCCGACAATGTATCCTTGTTTCATTTAAGCTCCCTGTCAGTAGCTTAAATTATTCTATGATTCTTTAAAACAGATACTGCGTATTGCAGTTTGGCTGAAAGTGAGATTTCACTTCTAGCAGTATACACAAAGGATTCAAGATGCCCCTAGATTATAACAAGAGGTAAAGTACGATACAATTCATGCTTATATAGTCCCTTTGGTATTGGGAGGCTGTCTCAAAAAGCTCAACAATTCTGGCTGGACAAAATGTCAAACCACAGAACTTAAAAGTAACCTGGTACCAATGTGAGGGAGCTGCCCATATCAAAAACACACCAAGTGGAGAATGAAGAGGATATTCAGATATGGCAGTTCATTTAGAACCACAACAGACATAAATCCCAAATGACATTGCAATCTTAAAAACAGTTAAATTAGTACTGAATCCCAGGACATTGCAGCTAAGCACAAAACATTAAATGTTTTATATTTCTCCATTAGTGACTCTATGATATCTATGACTTGGTTACTTACCTTCAGCTCATTGGAAAATTATCATGGCGCTGAACATTTTGATTTAAAGACGTTTAACAACAGCTTGCTTTGTAGGATACATTTTGTATACATCTGCTTAACAAATCCTTGTGTACAAATCATTCAGTATGCAAACAAACATTAAGCAAATTCAATGTGCAACTCTGATTTCATTTCTTGCTTTAGCATGTCAATACCTGTTATTTAGTAAAATATTGGAGCATTTGATGTCTCGATGCAAAAAATTCTTCTTATGGCAGTAGTCCAGACCCTCCATCAATTGTCTCATAAAGGATTTTATATGATTCTCAGTGAAATGTACTAATCCCGATTCCAAGAGTCCCATTAAGTCATGGTCCATATATTCAAATACCAAATAAAATGCACCTAAGAGGAGAAAAAGAAGTCCATTTAATTGTGAAACACCTTTAGATATTTTGAAAGTTAACTTTTTAAGGTTAGCTCAAGAGATGCAACCCTGTGTCAATTACAATACAAAATTACATTTATATAGCACCTTTCACATCAGGACGACGTCCCATAGTGCTTAATACTGGATTTGCACCCAAGCTGGGGGTGGGAGGGGAAAGATGATTGAAAAAGGTAGGTCTTGATAAGGACCTTAACTGAGGAGAAGGAGGGAGAGTTGGGGAGACTCCAGAGAGGTGGGGTAGGGCAGGATATGGACATGAAGCTGACATATTGGAAAAGCAGTTTTAAAGAGACGTATTTCCTCGCACCACATTGATGAGGAAACCTTGAGGCTTGGGACAACAGCTGCTTAAAGGCATGACCTGAGATTATGAGCACATACTCATATGAAACTATAAATAGGGTACCACATTTTGAGCTGGTACATTAGAGAGCTGTCTAAAGCTCAATAACCCACGTTTACAATTATATCTGCAACAACACTGTGGCGAGTGCACTCACAGGAATAAACCAAGGTTAAACTTTTACATAACTGTGACATACAATAATGAGAATCTCACATTGCTTCACTTGAGCCAAAACAACAACAAGTTGCATTTATATAGTGCCTTTCACACAAGGTAGCGTCCTGGAGTACTTCACAGTGGCGGAGTCTGACGAGAAAGGAGCCAGGGAGAGAGGAAGGTGACCACAATCACAATCAAAAAGGAAGGTCTTTAGTGGGATTTGAAAGTGGGGAGGGAGGGGGCAAGGTGGGTGGAATGAGGGAGAGAGTTCCAGAGTTTGGGGGTTTTGTGGCTGAAGGCATATCCACAGACTGTGGAATGGAGGGCACGAGGGACAAACAGGAGGCTGGAGCCAGGCACGTGGAGGCAGCGGGTGGTAGAGTTGGGGGTAAGCAGGTCAGATAGTCAGGGATGTGCAAGGTCATGGAGATTTGAAAACAAGTGAGAGGATCTTGAAATCGATCAGTTTGGTGATTGGGAGCCAGCGGAGCCTGGCAAGGACTGGTGTGATGGGAGTACAGAGTTCCGTATGGGTGAGTATTCGGGCAGTGGAATTTTGAATTGATATTTTGTGTATGGTGGAGCTGAGGAGAACATCAGAATAATCCAGCCGGGGCTGCGTGGATTGTAAGGTACGGACCGAGGTGGGCAATGTGGCCGAGGTGGGCAACTGATATCTTGATTCAGACTACAAAACGCATTTCACACAGATCTGGAATTAGTAGTAAACTATTATAAACAAAACCACAATGGTGATATCAATCAAGTATGCCAACTCAGTGATCACCTAGAACCGTTATGTACCTATTCTCTACACCTCTGATTAATAAAAATACCTTTATCTTTTTTGAAATCCAGTGCATCCTCCTTGTCCGTCACAATTTCTTTCATATTTATGATACTGGAGTGGTTCAACTGTCGTAGTATTTTAATCTCTCGGATGGCAGTGATTGGAAAGCCCTCCTTTTCATTATCCAAGCGGACTTTCTTTAAAGCAACCATTTCACCTGAAAACAAATTTATAAGACTTTCAACTAATAAACTTCAAGATTACTTATATTTCTAAAGTGCATAGGTTTTCACTTATGCCTTAGCATGAGCAAATTGAAAACTGTGATAAAAGCTTTTTCCAGTTAAATCATTCCCTTCAGTTGATTATATAATAATCCTTGCATTTGATATAGCAATTAATCACGTCTTTGAGAAGTCTCAAAGCGCTTCACAGAATACACTGTAAAGTGAATAGACTGTATATTTTGTGGGTGAAATGCGGCAGCCAATTGCACACAGCAGTGTCCCACAAACAGTCGTGGGAAGTGACCATTTTTTTATAAAAGGAATTATTACTCCCAGAAAAGCGATCCGCCAATTGACTAACAACCAGATTCCTACTTACTGCTAGGTAAACAGAGGCATGTGAAATAAGGAAACTTGCTCAACATTTCTCCATACTGGGAAACGAACCTAGGCCTCTCGCTTGCGAGTGCTCTAACCACTGAGCTACAGATTACCACAATATATAGAGCTTCATTTAACAATATAGTAATTAAGCACGTTGCCTGATACCCCATATTGTCGTATGCAAGCAAGTGGAAACAGAAAGTTAACGCAAGCTGAAACTATGAAAAATAGCCAAGTTGTAAAAACTCATGTATTCAGAAACTGCATCAAAAGAAATTCTCCCAAATTCTGGCTCCCATCCTACAAAATAATCAGATTTGACAAGCATCTCAGTCGTAATCTAAGCAAATACTACAAAAATGGGGAGACTCTCACCAAGTCTGCTGACAGCTTGGACAATCTTCTTTACAGGCAATGAGCATGCCAGGTCAAGTGGCAATATCTGGAGATTTGAAGTTAGTCAATCTCACCACAGCTGGTCATAAGTGTTATCTATACTCCAATTTCACATCAGTTCATAATCTACTGCACTAAAAAATAAATCATAGAAAATGTACGGGGCAATAACCTCAAAGTAAAAATGAAGCCCATTAATATCTTCAATGTGTGAACCCTCCCACCTACAATGGTTAAGATTCCAAAGGATATATTCAGTGCGATTGCAAGTGCATTTCTTAGCAAAGTGCACAAAATATTTGTGCAATGGCAGATCATGTGCAAAAATTCCCTTCAATAATCCCATCATACCAAGTACAATCCCATTAAGGAGTTAATTTGATATCTTCATTAAGTGCATCAGATGCATGCATGCATGCAGTGGCTGTTTTCTTGTATAATGATACAACCACAAACTATAGACTTGTGGCAATAATTGGCTGGGGGATCAGAAGCTATCTTAAAACCTACCTCTCCAAGCGCCTACGGTCACCTCTCCCTTTCCCCCTCCTCGGTGCCCGTCACTGTAAAGCACTCCAAGACATTATTCTACGTGAAGGACGCTAAATAAATCCAAGTTGATGCTTTCAACCAATTCAAGTCTTTTTTTGTTAATTGCTCCTACCTCCAATGCATAACAATGTAGATAAAGGTTACATTTTTTTAAAAAAAAACAAGAACAAGATTGAGGTCAGCTGTGATGTTTTTAAGTCAACTACTTGTCCACTTGGCTGGCACAATTCACATTCAGTTAATAATGTGAAGCACAAATAGACACTCATAATTACATTACATCAATGCAAAGAATTACAGAATCATCTGAAATCCTTTTTATTGGTGGGCACCTGCAATTCCCATGTGTTTAAAAGATCATGAATTAAGACTCCACTGCCTAGGCCCACAACATTACTACTTGGGCAAATACCAGAGGAGCCATAACCCATAAATCAACACCTGGAGGAAAGAGAAAAAAAGTTAGAATTCTTCTAAATCATACATGAGACATCATTCACATTATTTTGCCACCAATTTAAATTACTAACATGTTTTGGGGTGAATAGATTAGCCTTGCATCAATAGTAACATACTATTGCTCTGCTAATGCAATTATGCTGAAGAAGTCAACAGCACAGTTAAACTGCTAAAATTTATTGTCAGCACAGCTTTGATTATACAAAGAAACAGGTTTCCACGAATGTCCAATCAATGAATTGGCATGGAAGATAAAGATTTGATTAAATGCTCCTAAATGGAAAAAAAATATAGCAGTCTGTACCTAAAAATTAAATCTGGTTTAGTGATACAAAGGTAATGAGATATTTTCAGAGATTATCCAAATAAGTAGAATATGAAATTAAATTCCTTTTGATGCCATTTCTGAATACATGATTTTTTTTCAGACTGGGCTATTTTAACACCATTAAAATTTACAAGAATAAATTCACAGCATAACAGTATTGTACAACATTTTGTACGACTTGAAGCAATAAACTAACTAAAAATAGCAAGGAGCAAGTGAAAGTAATGGTCTCCACAAATAAAGGTGGTGAGAGGAAGGGGATAATTCATATTCAAGCCTTCTGAAAACCCCAACAGAGTTACAATATATTGGAAGCCTTATTCTGTTCCAGCTCTCTTTCAAGTTGCATAATATGTCATATTTGTTTGATACAAATACACTAGGAAGAGAGAATCAAGTTTTTGGTAAAAAGGAAAGAGGGAGTGAGGGTGGATGGAATAAAACACTGCTAGTTCTTCAAACATTATCAGAGTAGAGTCCATAAATTATTTCAATGGGGAATAAGATTGATGTTTGAAAAAAGGTATAAGGGGCAAGTAGTGGAATGGGATTAGGAAGCTCATGTGCTGAAAGAGCAGCGTAAACACAATGGCCTGTTTCATTCTATGTTGTAACATCTTATAATTTACATGATGTGGATTGCTGGACAAAACACGGAGAGAAACATTTCAAATTGAAGTTTTGTATGAATTTTAGGCATCCACCTAAACAGGAAGAATGTACTCTGGTTTGACAATCCTACAAGAGGGCCTTGGAATTGAACCCAGGTCTATCGCTTGCGAGGTGAGTTCTCTAACCACTGAGCTACAGGGCTCCATATGGCCTGATTTCAAAGAGCAATAAAGAAAAAATAGAAATGTAAAATGTAATAATCATAGTAGCTTAATTAAAAGGAGATGGATTCCTTCTTCCTTTTCATCAAGATACTTTATCAACAGTTTTTAAGAATATAAAATCTACCAATTCATTTGTATGTCCAACAACAGGACTAATGTAGTAAAAGTCAAGTTACAAGTTTGTTTGATTCCAGTTTTAAACCTTCTAAATATAGGACAACATTGTAATTTAACACCAGTCACATTCAGCATGTGCACTGATTCTGACACAGCAAATTCCAAATCTTGCAACACATGGTGAAAGTTGAAAGCAATTTAGAGGAAATTAAATTCCAAGGAAGAGTACCAACTAGGCCACTCTTGCACTTTCTCGCAGCATTCGTAAAATGTAAAAGGATAATGCTACCTATAGCCTCATCTGTGCATGCCAACATTCAGAATGGATCAGTGATAAGACTGATAAGCTACGGAAGTTCAATAAAAAGGAGAGAAAAATGTTCTACCGTTTCTTCATGATGGACTGATAACTGACTGGTATTTGAATCAGAGAGAACTGAAGCACAGGAGGATCCAAGGCAAGGGTTATAAGCTGGCCCAATAGAAAGTCTGGAAATATTTGGCAAAAACTGCGGGGAGGTTCACCAATTTGCGGAGGGCATTTTTGGCAATTTTGCAGAAAACTGCAGGGAGTTGATTTGTGCTATTGCGGTACATTTTCATAGAATCATAGAATCGTACAGCACAAAAAGAGGCCATTTGGCCCATCGCGTTTGTGCCGGCTCTTTGATTAGAGCAATGTAATGTCAATCTCACTCCCCAGCCCTTTCCCCATAACCCTGCGAACGCATCCTCCTCAAATACCCGTCCATCGCGTTTTTAAAAGTAGTTATCGAATCGGCCTCAACCACCCTTTCAGGCAATGCGTTCCAGATTCGAACAACTCGCTGCGTGAAAAAATTTCTTCTCACCTCCCCTCTGCTTCTTTTAGAGACTATTTTATTGCCCACCTATATTTTTTCACTTTATTGATATAACGAAACATGAGGAAATGACACATATTAGGCAAAAAAATATTAATTGCTTCTTTAGCAAAAACTTTTTTTGGGGGGAGGAGGAACTGCATGCAGCTGCATTTTTCTATTGGCCCAGGTTATAATAATAATTCTTGCATTTGATAAGAGCGCTTTTCATGTCTTCTAGAGGTCTCAAAGCGCTTCACAGAATATGCTATAAAGTAAATTGACTGTATATTTGTGGGCGAAACGTGGCAGCCAATTGCGCACAGCAGTGTCCCACAAAGTCGTGGATTGAAAATTACCAATTTTATTTTTTTTGTTGTGGAGGGATTATTATTAGGTGTGTTATAAATGAGAAAGACTTTGAAAACTAGAACAAATAAATTAGTCAAAACAGTTATTTCTTTGGTTCAAAATGTAACTAGAACAAACCATTGTAATACTGTAAAACATATATATTTTACCAGCATCTTTGTCCTTGGCTTTGTAAACTTGTCCATAAGTGCCTTCACCTATTATTCCAATGATGTCAAATTTGTCCACGCAACGTTTACCCCAATCTATTTCCGTTATTTCAGTTTCACCATGTCGAGGTCCACAGATTCTAAAAACACATTTCAGTCAAACATTAGAAGCTAACCATGAGAAGCAGATCCAGATTAACAGTATCACCATACATGAAATGACACTGCATGGTTTCTAGACCAACTAGTTAAATATTATTTGCCAGATGCAATATAATATATAGTCAAGGTGTAGGGCAGGTAACGTAAATTTTTTATTAATTTGAACCGTATTACCCAATTAAAAATACGCTCCAAAGAATTAAACAAATACACTAGTAATTAATACAAATTTTCAATGAAAGTACAATTTAACTATGCAGATTTGTTCATTACTATTCCTCTCAGCCAACTGCATGACAACCCAGAGAAAACGCCCAAAATAAAATAAAGCCAGCAAGATTTGTAGAATATTTATTTCATGCTGTATTTTCACAGCAAATACAGTACAATAACTTGTGTATATTGCAAGTAAAATTTTGACTGATTCCTACACTGATGCAGTTCTCACACTGCAAGTTATTAGCCTTGAAAACCTTCCTTGGACAACAATCTTTGACCAGGTCTTTAATCAACATCCTCAACCCTACCCCCTTTGATCCATTCAGCTCAATGAATCACATCCTAACAAAGTGAATTAATTATCCAAGATGAAAAATACAGTACAAGTGCAATACAAGTGCTCAAACTAGGCTATTTGAATGCATAGTGTTCAGAAACCATCAGGATAGACTTGTTTGTTGTTGTTCTTTTGGTCAGCTGGGTATCTGACACGTGCAGAAACTCATTCATCATGCTTAAGGGTATCAAAATCAAGCTGAAATTTCCATGCATCCCACCTACACTTGGAAATCGCGGAGATAGATTGGTGGAATGGAATGCACACTCCCTCCATGGAGGGGCTTATCCTACTTACCTAATTCCGGAAATTATTAGGCGCAGGTTGGCAAGAGCTAAGGCTTGGGGACTGCAGAATGTGCGTTGGGGAACCAGATAAAACCACATAGCTTGCCATTGATAGCTCTGCCTGGCAGCTATCCAGCTAGCACCACCCTTCCCATTAGTGCTTTGGCTCGCAGGGTTAGTGCTTTGGTTAGATGGGCAGACTAGTCACTGGGGGCAGGGAGTGGGATGACTCCCTGCCCCTGTGACTGGCCTGCTCTTCCAGGTCCTGCCGATGTGCTGTCATCAGCAGTGCCTTGGAATATCTTAGACCTGCCTGGCTCAGGAACCAGACTACTGAGACTACCACAGAGGGCTGGTTCAATTCTGACATTCCATTGCCAGGCATGTCACCTTGGAGTCAGTTCCGCTCCAAGACCCTGCTTAGACCTGTGTGAGAGATGTGGGATTGAGGTGTGGAAGAAGCTGTCGCAAAGTGCTCTTCTTGGATTAAAGAAACCGTTTGGATGAGAAAACAATCACAATAAATGAACCAAGTGATAATGATATTTGTGGATTGGACTGTGATGCCTAAGTGAAGAATTCAATGATTTGGCATTGCTTTCCCTTTAAAAAGTTCGACTCAGCAATGCAATGACTTCATAGAATCTCATGAAGTCATTGTATTAAGTGACATTGAAGAGTCACACATTCAAAACAATTTTATTTTCATAATTGTCACAACCAAAATAGAAGGGGGGAGCCAAGAGATGAATCAGAATAAACAATTTTAATTTGGGTTCTTGGACACATCCACTAGGCTTCTGATGTCACTGTGCCACTTATGTGGCAAGGGCCCAAGTTTCCTTCCATTCCCTAAACATATCACAAACTCACTCTGTTTGCAACTCTTCCTTCTGATGATAGAAGCAACTCCAAAAAAGGTCGAGGAAACAACAGCCACTTTTCATTACCAGTTGTCTGCAGAGACATGCATGCAACAACTTTCTTGTTCAACCCCCAACTGTCCTTCAAGACCTACTTCTGGGCTCTCACTCACTCAGCTTTTACTCACTTCTCCAACATTGCCTTTCCCCTCAGCCCCTCAAACATACCTTCTTCATGTCCAACCTACAAAATTCGAATGTCTTGCTAGCCAGACTCACCAGCCTCATTCTTTCTCTCTCCCTACACAAGCTTCACACCAACCAGAATTCCACATACAATCCTCTAATGCTGTGACAGCCTATCTATCACCACATCCTCGCTCGGCTTCACTTGCTCCCCGTCCCCAAAATTCAAGATTCGGATCAAATTCAACTTCCTTATCTTCATATTCAAATGCCTCCACAGTCCCACCCCACCTTATTTCTACCACCCCCTTCAACCCCATCACCGAGCCACTCCCTCCGTACAGTAATAATATAATACTTGCATTTGATATAACACTTTTCACGTTTTCTAGACGTCTCAAAGTGCTTCACAGAATATACTGTAAAGTGAATTGACTGCGTTTTTGTGGGCAAAACGTGGCAGCTAATTGTGCACAGCAGTGTCCCACAAACAGTCATGGATTGAAGTGACCAATTTATTATTGATTTTTTTTTTCTTGAGAGATTATCAGACATGTGGAGTAAGGAAACTTGCCCAAGGTTTCGCCCTGCCAGGAATCAAACCCAGATCTCTTGCTTGCGAGGCAAGTGCTCCAACCACTGAGTTACAGGACTCCACACAAATGCTTCATGCACCTTGCATGCTCCATTTCACCATTAGTAGGCGAAATTTCAGCCAATCTGCCCTCTCTCTCTGGAGCTCCAATCAGCAGAGTCCCTCCGCCTCACCCACTCCCTCAACCACATTTTCTATTTTCACTAAGGCAGTATATGGAATCGGACTCTTGTACTTGATGTTTTTGATGAAGCAATAAATCCAATTCCTTACGTTTAGACCTTCTGTTTCTGCCACCATATTTGTTTAATTAAAATGATACACATGACCACACAAGCTTGAAACTACCCACTTTTCCATTTTTTGTAGTTTAATTTAACTGCAAGTCTGCTATTAGTACAGCACTGAGAAAATTAGTATGAAGTCCCAGTGCACAAACATTAGAATTATAGTACATCTTATCCAAACTACAATGCCAATATCAGCGTGTTAATTATTCTAACTTTTGGTACACATTTTGGTGTTAGGTCATTAAATCTCCCATATTGTACAAACACTAAATTTAGCATCAACTAAAAAAATCTTAACTCACTTAGGTCGTTTCTTTAATTGCGGCTGAATGGCCACTTTCTTTTCTTCAGTAGTTTTAGGTGAAGGCAAGTCAGCTCCTGGAAGTTCAGGTGGCAATGGAAGGTCCGTTAGTAAATGCCGAAGCTTTCGTTCAGGTTCCTTCTTTACTCCTTTTGCAACAAAACTGTTTGGGCTGTAATTAAGAAAGCAAATAATTGTAAGACAATGCAACAAATTTTAAGTTGAAGCTGATTTTGTATTTTGACATTCCAGAAGATCAAAGACTCTTCGTAACCACATTCATGATAGCATCTAAACTTTTTCCCTAGATGGTAGCCAATCAGTTATCAACTTTGCATCATTTTGGTCATGAATTCAAATCAAATCTGCAATCTGATATTTGCTTGCCATGTGTTTGTCAGTCAGTCAAACCACTGGAAGGAAGCAGTTAAATTGTAAAGAAAAGCAAGAAAGTACCACTGTAGCTACAGTTCTGATCAGACCTCATTGGTAGTAATGTGTTCAGTCTTCAGCACCCCATCTTAGGAAGTATATACTAGTTTTAGAGCAAGTACAACAGTGATTTATCAGAATGATATCAGGGATGAATGGACTTAGCTATGATGAAGTAAACATGTCAGGTTCCATACAATTCAGGGAGAAATTGATAGGTTAGATTCCCTGTTCCCTGTATGAGAAAAACCAAGAACAAGGTAAAATAATTAAAATCAGAACTAAAACTGGTTAAAAGTAAAGATAGAAAACAATGCTTCCCACAGAGAACTATAAAAATATGGAATTACGCCAGAAGGCCATAGATACAGAATAAATTGAGATGCTTCTGGGGGTGATATTTGGAAACTAAAAGTATTAGGGGATATGGGCAAAGGAGAATAGATATGTTAGATTCAGTGACCAATCAAGATGGGTACATATGTATATATAATATATAAATAAAAAAAATCATCTCGCCTTGGGTCATGTTATCCCCCAATTAAGGTGAAAGGACAGAAAGCATCCAGCTCCCAGGCCTCAGCCTTGTGATTGGCATCAGATTTTCCCTCCTCCTAAGGACCCTCTAAGACCAAAATGTTCTGCATCAAAATTTAAGACTACCAACAGTGAGACCTTGACTTCTCATGGGCCCACCAGTTGCTGGATGACCACACCACCACCAGTATTTAGAACATGACAAATGTGGACTTAGGATCTGAAGCAAAACCATATTGATATCATGCCCTCCAGTTTGACTACTCCCTGAAACATAAAGGCTTCTTCACCATTTCTCACCAACACCAAAACAGGCTTCCTAGACATTTTCTTGTACAAGATGCAAATTTCAAAAAACATTTGTATTTTAAAAAAGTTAAGCAGCATTAATAGTTCAGGAGTAATATATATTATATCAAAAATGTTAGTACCATTAGTTTACTACAAATTGTACTCAATGGAAAGCTCAGAATCCAGAGTTGATAGTGAGATGATTTACTCAAACAATTTTACTGGACCTGTTAATTGACTTGTGTATATGAAATAGAAAATACTACTAAAGATGTAAGACATTAAATGGTCCAGTGACAAAGTACAAGGTGAATACAATTGCATCCTACTGAAAATGTTTCCAATTCTTTGATTTGCTACTTTTTGTTTTTTGGATACAAACAAGATTCACTCACAAAATACTTCACAGTATATCCCAAGTGCTTTGAGATATCCTCCTGACATTAAAGGCACTATATCAAGTTCAATAATTATTATTAAGTCGCAAATCGTAACTAATTGAATAAACACACAATTTGAAAAAAATAGCAATAATACTACCCACCAGATGTGAACAAGATTTATGTGGAAGACTCAAAACAAGCTAATCCGTTTTAATCACCTTACACCAGAAAATAATTTCAAAGGTTTGAACAAAACCAATTGACAGTGCACAAATACAAATCTCAAATTCTGCAACAGCAACAAAGTATAAATAAAAAAGGGATTCAGAAAACCAGGAAGCAATGGGACATACAATAGATCGAATGACCGACTTCAGTCTGGAAAATGTCTACGTAACGCTCAAGCTTCCTGTGTTGGGCTCTCTATAATTTATACCATGACGAGACTATGTCTCATTCAAAAGGGTTTTTATTTTGACTTGACATGACTATACAGTGGAAATATTAATGTGGGAGTTACAAAAATACAGGACAACACAAATAATAAAGAAATAATACTAACCGTTCCTGGGAGCTGTCCGGGAGACACTAAACATTCTCATCTGCCAATAATCCAACTAAACTCTTGTTTGGTTCCTCAAACGTTTTATCCCCCGCTTGCTTAAATTTAGCAATCTTAAATTTAAACCCTTACAACTTCTTTCCTATTGTCACAGCCAGGGGTGTTAATAGCATCACCCTGCTGTGAATGTTAAACCAATTAATTAAACGTACCTCTGTCTCCCTTGGTTTTAAAAAAACTTTCTCAGACCAGCAAGGTGCCAATGCTGTGTCTTTCAATCAAAATTTCTGTACTAAACCATTGTCTTTCTTTCCAGAACACATTAACTCATTAATTTATAATTATATTAATCCTTGCATTTGACACAGAGCTCCACCACATCCTTCAGACCTCTCAAAGCACCCCCAGAATACACCGCAATGTGAACCAACATTCGCCCCTCAGGCAAAACATTTACATCCCAACACCTGATAGCAAGCTGCTTTGTTAGTTTCAGATGGGCTTTCTATAAGTAGTGAAGAATATTTGGGGGAAGGTGAGAGGGAAGAAAGTTAAGATTTTTTTACCACGCGGTTAAAATATGCAAATTTGCAGGACAAGCCCGAGTGCTGACAGCAGTTGTAAACATCCAGTAAACACTGCTTCAGTTGGCAGGGGCACTATACTGTGGATTCCACGATAAAGAAAATGACCAATGAGAGCAAATAAATTATCTTCTGACTGTGTATGGTGAATGATCATGCTTAATATGCTCTTTAACAGGGATTAATTTTTCATCAGAATGGAATAAAAATGATAATAAAAATGTGCAGCACAGACAAGGGTCTCATTAGACACCAGCAACAGGATTATCCATGTACTCACAGAAATCTCTCACCACACTGCTACATTAGGGAACGAGCTCTAGACTTCAAAGAAAGCTTTATTATTATTCATATCACCTTTCCTGAAAACTCTCCTACTCCAAACGTAAACCACTATGTTTTGGGCATTTTCCCATATCCTCATACAGTGTGCTCATTTTAAACTTCTTTTTGAAATATACACACTAGTTTGCAGCCTCCTGGCTATTTTCCTATTCAATTCAAGTATCAGATTCCAAAGGCCATTTGGCTCCTCTGAATGGGGCAAAAGTTCACTGACTGCAGTAAATATTTATAAACACAGGACAATTCTTGCATCACTAGCATGGTCATAGCTGAACTGGAAATAATTGAGGATAACGTAATGGATCGCAGCATTGTTTACTTTTAGGGTCCATTTTACACTTTTCAAACTACTACTTGTGAGAAAATTTCCAATCAAATTAAGGCACCAAGATCGCATTTCAGAAGCTCATCCAGATATCTCATGGTCGAACACATCCAGCCCTTCTAACTTTAGCAAGATAAATAGGGAAGATTATCCCTGCTGGTTGGTGAATCAGAACCAAGGGTGATGCACGTGGGAAATTCTCCTGTCAAAAGCAAAGCCACCATGAAATCTCATAAGATCAACCCATAAATGTCACTTTTAGAATGTCTTCAGAAATTGCTCAAAGTAATGCAAACACACCCATCTCACCCCTCCTGAAGACTTCCCTCTCCTACTGGTCGTTTACCCAAATTGTTACACATATTTGAGCATTCCAATGAGTACCAGAAGACTTTTGCAAATGTGCGTGTGTGTGTGCTGGAGGGGTGGGCTGGGGCGGGTAGGGGGAGAGACGAGAGAGAGGGCAGTAGAATTAAGTTACAACCGACTCCGTTCTATAATAATAATAATAATCCTTGCATTTGATATAGCGCTTTTCACGTCGGGAGGACGTCCCAAAGCGCTTCACAGAACACACTGTAAAGTGAATTGACTGTATATTTGTGGGCGAACGCGGCAGCCAATTGCGCACAGCAATGTCCCACAAACAGCCGTAGATTGAAAATGACCAATTTATTATTGTTTTGGGTTTTGGAGGGATTATTATTAGGCTCTGTGTGGAGTAAGGAAACTTGCCCAAGGTTTCGCCCTCTGCCTGGAATTGAACTCAGGTCTCTCACTTGCAAAGCGAGTGCTCTAACCACTGAGCTACAGGACTCCACAAATGTCTAGTCCTTTGTACACACGTATCCACCCACACCTGACCAGGGATTGCTGAATGGTGATCAAGAACAAAATCACTAATTGTTCAACTCCATAAGATGGGGCTCTTATGTCAGTTGCACCACCACTACTGTTATCCTGGCTATCAGCTAACTCAGTAAGAGTTGAACTCAACTTGGAACTTTCAAAAGCTGGAATCCAATTTGACAGTTTCAGACACTTTCAGTAAGAAAACAAGTGAAAGCAAAAGATTGTAAGTAAATTTCTCAAATGCCTTAGGAGTGCATCTGATGAAGGAAAAGCATAGTTGAATCAATACTCTGTAATGGAACCTATGATCCGACATATGAGACATCAAGGTCTACGGCACTGTTGGTTATTGACTAGCTAACATCAATCAATGCAATTTGAACAGACAAACTGCTGCCAATCCGTACCTTTATCTGACAAATACTGTGTAATATTTCCAGACCCATCCATCCATTCTGAAAACTGGTTTCCAAACGATTAAATTCCAACACGTTTATACCTACTGTAGGACTAAACAAGTTATTCATTGTGATGAATGAACATCCCTTACTTCCCATATAAAATCAGCCACATTTCACCAATCACAGCCCACACTCCGACATGACAAAGTCCGTGTGTTGCTCACTCATGCCAAAAACTATATTCCAGCTTCACATTGTACAATACTGTATTGTGAGGCATTCCAACAAGCATCAGATTTTATTTCAAAGCTATTTTAGCAGTACAATAATCAGATGCTTGGAGATCCAAAACCCTATACCCAGGCATCCAAAAAAGAGTACCATGATCAATCCACATCATGTAGCCTCAGGGAATCTATGCAATTGACCCATTAAAATGAAACAAACTCATTACATCTTTCCACAAGACCAGAAAGCAAGATAGTGCCACAGTACATGCACATAATCACTTCCAGCAAAAACCTCTGAAACAACTTACTTGACAGCAATGGAATAGCCGGCTACTGGTTTTAAGCAATGTAGGATGGCCTATTGGAAACAACAACGAAATTACATTTGTATAGCCCCTTTCACGTCAGGAGGACGCCCAAAGGCGCTGGATAATCATTGTTTCAGACCCGAGCTGTGGGTCGGGAATGGGGGGGGGGGGAGCAGGATGATCAAAAGCAAGGTCGAAGAGGAGGGTCTTGAGATGGGTCTTGAAGGAGGCAAGGAAAGGAGCAAGGCGGAGGGACTGCGGGATGGAGTTCCAGAGGGTAGGTGCAGAATGCCTGCCCGCCAATGGTGGGGCAGGCGAGGCAGGGGACGTGAAGCAGGCCGGAGTCCACTGAGCGGAGGGAGCGAATAGGATAGTAGGGGGTTAGGAGGTTGAGAAGGTAGGAGGGCTCAAGGCCATGAAGGGCTTTGAAGGTGAGGACCAGGATCTTGAACTGTATTCTCTGAGTGATGGGAAGCCAGTGGAATCGGGCAAGAATGGGGGTGATAGGATCACAGAGCCTGGTGTGGGAGAGGACAGCACAGAGCTCTGGATGATCTGCAGCCTATGGAGGGAAGAGTTGGGGAGGCCGATAAGCAAGGAGTTTGCATAATCAAGCCTCAATGTTATGAATACATGTATGAGAGTTTTGGCGGCCTGGGGCGTGAGACAGTGGCGGAGCTGGGCTATGGTGCGGAGGTGGGAAGGCAGAGCAGGTCAAGGTACGGATGTGAGGTAGAAAGCATAGGAAGGTCAAGCAAGACAGAGAGAGGAGTACGTGTTTGAGAGAGAGAGAGAGAGAGAGAGAGTGTGAGAGAACAGAGAGATTGAGAGAGAATGGGGAAGTGTGAGAGAGTGTGATTGAGAGAGCTTGACAGGGGATAGAGTGTGTGTGGGAGAGAGGTGAAGTGAGAGAGAGTAATGGAGAAGACTGGGAGAATGTGTGTGAGAGAAGTGCGGGAAGAGAGTGGTTGAGAGGTGGAGTTTGAGAGGGAAGAGCGACTGTGAGAAGGTGTGAGAAGTTCAGTGAGAATACAACAACGAAATTACATTTATAGAGCCCCTTTCACGTCGGGAGGACGTCCCAAAGTGCTGAACAGTCAGGTGTCGAGGCCCGGGCATGGGAGAAATGTGGTGTAGGGGTGAGGGAAGGCAGAGAGATGGGAGGGTGACCCAAGGCACGATCGAAGAGAAGGGTCTTGAGACCGGCCTTGAAGGAGGCAAGGGAGGAAGAGAGGCGAAGGGACTGTGGGATAGAGTCCCAGAGTGTGGGGGCAGAGAGGCTGAAAGACCAGCCGCCGATGGTAGGGTGGATCGGACGGGAGACATGGAGCAGGCCGGAGCCCGCTGAACGGAGGGAGCGGGCAGGTTGGTAGGGAGTCGGTGGGGAACAATTGAGATAAAGATTGTGTGTGTGCGCACAAGAGTGCGTGGGGGGGGGGGGGGGGAGAGCATCCACCCACTCCCCCTTTCCTAATCAACCGCACAGTTCACTATCTGTAGTGACGGGAGCCGGTGTGTTTGCTTAATTCGCGGTTGGTAAGAGATGCACTGACTTCCTGACAGGTATTATTTCCACTCTCCACGCTGCATCATCCCAACCGACGGCTCCTGCGCTGCCAAAAGAGGATGTTCATCAGAATTTGGAAATGGTCTCAGATCGGATAAAATCACCGGCCGAGATGGATGTGGCCCATGGGCTGCCAGCTGGACCACACTTCCTCAAATAAGGAATCCGTCCCACGGCAGCCAAAAGGTTGGACCACCCTGGTACAGATGTATTCAAGAGGAAACTAGACCTTCACATGAGATAGAGGGGAATAGAAGAACATAGAGGGAATAAAGGAACGTACGGTGACTTATGTGGAGTAAAAACATCATCACCAACTGGTTGAGCCGAAGTAGCCTGTTGCCATGCTGTACATTCTCTGTAAATCTTTGTATAATATAACCAAGTTACAGCAGGTTGTCATATTTAAGTCACATAAACTGCTATAATATACAGGTGCAACACAATTTCCTGTCATCACAAAACCAGCATGTCAAATGATAATGCACCAAATAACTATTTCATCATAGAATATCTGGCATTTTCAAAAGACTGGCCCAACAGAGAGTCCTTTGCGACACTGAGCAAGAAAAGAAACGGTGGCCAGGCATCTTTATATAACTTGTGGTAACGTAGCCCTGAGTCTAGGACTAAATTTACTGTAATCTTAGGCCTGGGAATAACAAAAATCAGAATGGAATAGGGAACTGAGAATAAAAACACAGTAAGCACTTGGTCTAAAACTTCTGCTGGTACTATTTATTTTTGGGATACTTTTAAACTTCATTCTGAAGATACCTAAATGCCAGAGAAAGTATACGTTTGAATATCTCAGATAACTTCCAAGTCTACTTCAAAACTTTATGGAGATTTATGGAATCAGTGAAAAAAGATGTATTCAAACATGTATTCAAAAAGGAAAACAAGATGTTTCAAAAACAGATTAAATTGGCACCACTTCCAGTCTGACTCACATGATGCACTGACTAAAAAAAAATCTATGAATTTTAAACCAACTCTTACCTGCTTGCATCTTCATTATCATTCTTGGACAGCACTGGAGGCAGAGGTAGTGGTGGTAATGTTGATGATAGTGGTGCTAGATTCTTATCTTTCTCCCTTGCAGCTTCATTTGGCACAGCTTGCTTGGTCTTTTCCTTTGATGTTAGCTCTCCTCTTATTGTTGGAGTTTTAGAAGTTTTCTGCCCTAAAGTTGCCTCTGTTGCCTCCTTTTTATCCACAGTGGTGTTGGGTTCTATTTTCACCTCCTGAGTAATTACCTTGGCTTTCGGCTTCTCATTTAACCGGATTTCGGTATCTGTAGGAGACACTCCTATTCGTTCAGACTTGAATTTATTTGTCTCTTTTGTTTGGGATATAGAAGCCGCTATAGTTGTATTGGCATTCGTACTTGTCTTGGCAGTAGTTAAAAGTGCATTAGCATTTTTTGCAGTGTTTTTAGCAGCCTCAACAGCTCTGGCTTTTTTGTGCTTATTTAGCTCAGCAGCAAGGCTACTCTTATAGGTTAAACTGCTTGGTGAAATGCTCGACTTTCGACTGCGAGACCGCGACACCCTGTGCTTGCTGCGAGATCTAGAACGTCTAGAATAATAAGGGCTTCTACTTCGTGATTTCAGCCTCCTAAAAGAGCAAATCAAAAAAGGTCCAAGTAATTATCACAAATATTACAATAAGCATTTAATATGAACTGTAAACAATGAATTTAGAAGGTGATACACCACAACTTAAATGTATACTGGTTTCTGCATCAGTATGGAACGCCTGAAATCCAGTTACTGCACTAGAATATTTTGCCTCCAAGTATAAAACACAAGAAACAAAGATTCCCTGCGTAACCCAACACGACCCTAAATTTTTAAAATTGTATCTCAGCCTCACTCACTAAAGTAATAAAAATTGTAGATGCCTTTAGTTCGGGTCATTTGTTTTTGTTTTAAAAAGAAATAAGCAACAATTCGTTGATATCACAGAAAACGTGTTAAGTCATTAGTTGAGAAGTAAATTTGATTACTGTACTTAAATGTTACACCCAAGTTATAAATAGATCTATTGCTGCAAGCAACGTTGATTGAATTGCAAATGCAGTTCTTTAGAAAGAATTTACAGGGCAATAATTGTCCCAGGGTCCTTTTTTGGGGGTGTGGGGAGAAAGGAGAATTTGCAAAACATAATTTTCCACTCGCACATTATCATCAAACAATTTATCCTGGAAATGCATATATGTGTGGATATCTCACTAGGCTCCGCTGAAATGCTCCCCTCTTGTCAATAGTTTACCAACACCTGATGCCAAAGTTTGCAAATGAATAATGGACTCACTGGGGAGCCTTAGGAAACAGTGATCAAGTACAAACAAGTGAAATGCCTCAAGTAAGTGAGAGGGGAAAGTGTGGAAGTGGATAAATCAGAGGGGGGGGTGTGGGGGGAGAAGAGATAAGAGTACAGCAATGTGGAGAGGTAAAACAGTACAGCAGTCCGGGGAGACGGACAAAAAAAAAGCTGTGTGGAGAAAACTAGAATGGGATGCGAGGAAGTAATTATTATTACTATTATATTTAATAACGTTTATTAATATTAAGTGTAACAGTCAAATACAGGCAATTTACAGTGGCATCAACACCCCCCCACCCACACACACACACATTTTGCTTTCATATTATTGATAAGACAGAGCTCCCCGTCTCACTGTACCTGTGCTCCGGGCTGCGACTGTAAGGGCTGGAGGAGCGGCGTCTGCTGTAACGGTTGGGGGACAGCGCCCCGTACTCATAGGGGCTGTGGTGACGGCCGAAGCTGGGGGAGCGGCGGCGGGAATAGGGGCTGGGGGAGCGGTGGCGGCGGCTGCTGCAGCTGGAGTAGGGGCTGGGCGAGCGGCCTGTGTAGCCGGGGTGCACGCTGGACTCCCGGGAGCCGTAGAAGGGCTTGAAGGCGAAGAGCGGCGGCGGCGGACTGCGGCCGTACACGTCGAAAGCGCCGGGCCGGGGACTGGAGCTGTGACCATGGCCCGGGCCGTAGGCCTGCGGGTAGCAGGAGAGGCCGCCTCCGTATGGGCTGCCGTCTCTGTACAGCGGACTCGGCGACTTCTTCCTGGTGGCGGCCGGGGGAGAGCTGCAGGTGCGGTAGGCCCGTGGGGCCTCGCGCTCGCGGTAAGCCTTGGGCGGCTCTTTGTAAGCGGCGGGCGGCTCCTTCTCGGCCTTGACGCCCGCGCTGCCGCTTTCCCCGCGCTCCTTGCGGTGTGCGCTCCTGCCGGCCTTGGCCTCCTTGTCGGCTCCGGACGCTTCTCGCTGACCGTTGCTGCTGCCGCTCGGCTCCTCGGCGCTGCCCCGGCTCCTGGCCTTGTTTTTACTCCGGTTCTTGGCCTTGCTGTCGGCGCGGGGCCTCGAGCTCTCCCCCGCCCGCTCCCGCCTCCGCCGCTCTTTATCCCGGGCTCGGCTCTGCTCTTTGCCCGCACGGGATGAGAAGCCGCCGCCGGGGGACGCGGGGCTCCGCGAGAATGTCTCCGACTGCGAGCTCACGTCGTCGTATTCGACCAGGGCCCGGGCCGGGTTGCGGCCCAGATTCGACGCCGAGGCTTGGCCGCTTTTCCCGTCGCAGCGCCGCTGGGGTCGGCTCTCGGCCGAGTGCTTCCCCCGGCGTTTCCTGTGTTTGGAAGCCGAGCGGTCCTTGTCCCGGGCCTGCGAGGGCCCCGGGGGGACGCCAAAGCCGCCGCTGTCACCTCCACCGCCGGCAGAGCCGGGTGTCCTGTCGCTCCGGTGCTGCCTCTTGCCGCTGGGGCTGCGACCCCGGCTGCCGCTGAGCGTGTCCGAGCTCGGCATTGACCTCCGCCGCGGCGTCGCCTCAGTCCATCCGCTCGGGTCCGCCGGGCATCCCGGGGCGGGGAGAGGCCTCTGGGGGAGAAAGGAGCGGCGCCGGGAGCTCGTCTGCTCGGGAGGTCCCCCCGCTCTGCGGTCCTGGTGTCAAGAGTGTCCGTGTCCTCGGTGTCTGTCTTCTCGGGGTCACTGGGCAGCACTGCTCATGGCTGCGGAGCCGCCGTGGCCTCTCCTGCTCGCCTTGGCCCGGGGATGAGCTGTGAGTTCTCTCTCTCAGCACCGGCACATCCTGCGTCATAAGCCGGAGTTGAGTGAAATAAAGTGCCGGGGCCTGCGCCGGCTCTGTCTGTCTGTCCGTCTCTCTCTCTCTGGGGGCCGGGCTCCGTCCCCTCTGCCTCTCTCTCTCTCTCTCTCTCTCGCTCGCTCTTCCTCTCAAAATGGCCGCCGCTTCTCCAGCCGGAACCCGCCGCCACCGCGTGTCACGGGTCAAAGGTTCGCTTCCTGGTCTCCCGTCTCCTAGTAACCAGCCCGGCTCCCCCTCCCCCTCCCTGTTCTCCGAAGAAAGCACCGGTGTCGGTGTCATCTCCTCACGTCCCATCCCTGTTCTCCCCGTGGGCGAGCTGAACTGCCTCCAAGGTGCCACGTTTGGCAATGGGGTATCGGAATCGGGCCCACCCTCTGTGGCGGTCGGTCTCGGTAACAATAATAGTCCTCGCGTTTTGATGGAGCGCCTTATTACGTCATCGAGATGTCACAAAGCGCCTCACGGCATACACTGTAAAGTGAATTGACTGTATTTTGTGGGCAAATGTGGCAGCCAGTTTGTGCGCAGCAATGTCCCACAAACGGCCACTGATTGTATTTTAGGGGATTGTTGGTCAGGACACCGGGAGAAACCCCCTTTCACTTTTCGAGTAATGCCATGGGATCTTAAACGTGAACAAGCAGACGAAACACTGTTTAAAGTCTCATCCAAAGGATGGCACCTCCAACAATGCAATTTTTCGCCCAGCACTGTATTGAAGACTGCACTCCATTCTGACTGTGTATTGGAGCTTGTTACTGGCTACTTACATACTCCTCTGTGCCAGGTGGGTCCGCAGTACTCCAGGGCATTGCTCGTGACAGCACAGCCAGGCTGACTCATCAGCAGGACATGAAGGGCAGACCACTGGGGACATGGAATTTCTCCCACTCAGCTCCCATTAAAGGCCCCTGATGTGATAGGTCCTGTATAAATCCAATTTGTTGTTGTTAACCCTGCAAGTCAAAGCACTCCCTTCTTTTCGAATATTGCAGTGGGATCTTTAATATCTATCCAAATAGGTTGACGAAATCTAGGTTTACAGGACAGAGGACTAATTTTTTTTTAAAAAAAACAGCTTGATGCTGTGATGGGGGACTATTCGGTGGGTATTCTGGAAGAATGAGATCAAATGGACCAATTGGCTTTCTTCAACCAAATCAATCATGTGAATATTTTTATCCAAAGGATGGCACCTCTGACATTTGAGCCCCCTCTAGCACTCCATTGTAGTGTTAATAATAATAATCTTTGCATTTGATATAGAGCCTTCTCACATCTTTGAGACGCCTCAAAGCGCTTCACAGAATAAACTAAAGTGACTTGACTATATTTTTGTGGGCTAAATGCTGCAGCCAATTGCGCACAGCAGCATCCCACAAACAGTCGTGAATCAAGTGACCAAATTATTTATTTTGAAGGAATTATTCTCACAAAAACACAATCCGCCAATCGACTCTACCTACTGCTAGATAAACAGAGGCGTGTGGATTAAGGAAACTTGCCCAACGTTTCGCCCTGCCGGGAATTGAACCCAGGTCCTCTCACTTGTGAGGCGAGTGCTCCAACCACTAAGCTACAAGACTTATTGCAGATGACAGCTGAAGAAATCTATCTGGATATGCTAATCTTTGCAAACTTGTTGAGCTCATGTATATTTTTCTCCAGAAATTGACAATAATACTTGGTGTATACACACATCTGATCCGATTCTATGACCATCGGTTCACACTATCATAAAGCTACTGGAGAATGTGATCTTAAAGTCTCAAAATGGGAGTTGAATACATAACTTACCATGGAATAAGAGGTTTGTTGGAATTGAGTTGGCTCCAAGGTTACATGTTTGCCAACAGAATATTGGTATCAACTTAATCCTATATGGCATTACCCCAACGAATACTTTTGGGGCTCCAAGTCTTGCTCTGCCAACTTACACTTAATACTCTTTGAAATTCCATAAGCAGGATATGTCTCTCTGGGGAGAGAATGCACATTCTATTCCAGACACTGGGAAATTTCGATGTGTAGGTGAAATACAAATGTGGAACTTTTAGTCTGGTTTGGATATTCTTAAGCATGGTAATGAGTTTCTGCATGTATCAGACCAAACATCAAATCATCACTGTCTGTACAGGAGTGTGTTATTGGCTTCTTATTTTATTTCTGTTCATATTTGTTTGTTGAAAGTTTCTCACTTCCTCATTGTGTATAGGAGTGGGTTACCAGTCTTTCAATTCCTCTATATGTTCATCAGAGTTTGTTATTCAGTTGCTCTCTGTGTGTGGTGCTTTTTACTGGCTCCTCACATACTTCTATCTGTATAAGAGTTTATTTTCAGCTTCCTCAATACTTAACTGATGTTGGGTATAAAGAACATTACTCATAATTATTCCTAACCCTTGCATTTCATCCCAGGCACATTTGTTTTTCCAGCACACAAATTTGCTGTATTTTCATGTACCTAAAATAAAGGTTTGACTTAATTACTGGAGCTTATTCTAAAATAACAAGTGAATAAACGCTTGTAAATATTTAACTTTGAAACACTATTATGCAGACACAAAGTATCAACCAGTAGAAACTGTCAAATATTCAATGACAATGGGAAATGGGCAAAACTGAAGAATTACGGAGCAATCCAAAAAATATGCAGCAGTCCACAAACTAAGCATGTGCAGTATTTTTACCTTTGTGTGTTCAACGTTCTGAAAGAGTTCCATTTCTGGGTATGTTCCAGTATATAGATTAAAATTGCTTCAGTCCCTTACCAGTTAACATGATTTCGAATCCTGAAAATGCAAAGCTTCATTTATTACTAGAAGTGAAAACGATTCACTGTTACATGGAGATACTTTAATGTTTGAGTGACTTATATTGAAACGATTTTTGGTCAGCTGGGTGATAGATGCGGAAACTCATCATCATTATAGGATAACATTGCAAGGTTAACAGGAGTCCAGTGTTCCCAGTCTGCTCTTCCAACTCCTGCTAATGAGCCAGGCTGGATGCTCTGTACTTTGAAGCCAATTCATCTTCACCCCCCCACCCCGATTAGTTGTTGTGTGTTACCTCTGAATACACAGTCACTTTACACTTATAGATACTTTCTAAAAAACACTCTGAAGCACTTTTGAGACATTGCAATGCAAGGGTTAGGAATAATAAGCAAGGTTTTTTAGCCCCAATCTCAGGAGAGCATGTCATACTACAGTTTGATTTTTCTCAACATGCTCTACGGTGTTTGATGGGTCTCTTATTATTGCATATTATAAAACAGAAAACAAAAGCAATAAAAAGCAAAGGAAAACATGACAACCATTTCCAGAGGGGTTTGCTGACTGGGGCTTTAAGCAAATGATAGAGATTTATGGAGGAAAACTAAGTTCACCAACAGTGGGCGAGTCTACACTTTTCTGAAACTAAAACAAAATTGGAACTTTATAATCCACTTAGGAAGTTTTAAAGTACATAGAAGAACAGGACATTTTCTGAAGAGCAAGCAACTTGTGAAAGAAAGAATAGTACTAAAAATCTGAGTAACTTAAAGGCAAAGGTGGCACTTTGACTCCAGTGATAAGGGAGCATGAAGGGGCTAGAGTGAAGAGAGCGGCTACAGTGAACAGAAGCCAACAAAGGAGGAAAGAGGTGAAGGAGAAGGTGTGGAAGAGACTTGAGGATGTACATGAACCTTTGAGAACTGTTTTTAACATAGACGTAACTATTTAACAGGTCAATTTGCACAACCATTGATGGGTTTTAGAGGTTGTGAATGGGAAGTGTGTGGGTAATTGCTCTCTCCTTAATCTTCTTAATTCTTTACCTGGTAAGTGGGTTTGATTCCCCGATGGAGAGAAACTGTAGGCAAGGTTTCCTACTCCACGTCTTTCCCTAGCAGTCAGTAGGAACGCGGTTGTTAGTCGATTAGCGGATTGCTTTCTGGTGGTAATAATCCCTTAAAAAAAATTTGATCACTCAATCCACGACTGTTTGTGGGACACTGCTGTGCACAATTGGCTGCCGTATTTCACCCACAAAATTCTGAATAAATTACAGTCTACAGTCAATTCACTTTACAGTATATTATGTGAAGCGCTTTGAGACATCTTGAAGATGTGATAATGTACTATATCAAATGCAAGGATTATTATTATCTGGCATCATATTTTTATTGACAAAATTAAAAACTAGAGATTTCTTGCATTTTTTTGGGGTATCGGTCCGAAAAACATAGACAACCAAGGGGGGAAATATGACCCCCCCAAAACAGTGACAATTAAGCGGCTGCTATTTCTTTCAAACCTAATATGAAGGTCAAGTTTGCAGTGCTTCTGAACAGGATTTCTTGATTAGGAAATCCATATGTCCTTGACACAGACCTTCAGATGATGCTCCAATGCATTCTTTTATCAGAATAAGGCTCTATATAAATACAGTGATCACCCTTTACATTATATCCTGTGAAGGACTTTGAGACCCCCCCTCCCCCAACTTGAAAGCTGCTATACCAAATTTAAGTGGCAAACAATCCTCCAGATCAATTGATCATTCGCATCTTGGCTGTTTATGAGATTTAGTTAATGCAAATGGCTGCCATGTTTGTCTAAAACTACTTACACTTGATATTAATTACTTTACAGTGTTTTTAAATGTTTTAACATTTATAAAACCGGAAGTTTGTTTGGTAGGCGGGGAAATGAGACAGGGTTCCAGGTTGACTGTTATTCAGAGCCTCTGCTGGATATGTCGTTGACACCTTGTGACGGATGATAGGACTGAGTTGGATTGTGACGTCTCTGCCAAACACACAAGAATAATGATGGGTTAGGTACTAGAGGGCAATTGTGCAAATAAGCTGTTTTTAAAGTTGAGATTTCAATGAGTGTTTTTTTTAATAAAGGGCCATCTTTCAGTGAATAAGTTAAATCTACAATATCAATGCTGTAAAAAAAATGTTTATTTCTTAATGGTTCAGCATACAATTAAAACTCTGGGTATGGGCATCAGCTTTCAATACAATAGTGTCCAAGCTTCATAACACCAATACCCAAGCTTTGTCTACAGGAAGTCAAAATGTTAGTGGTTAGAATCCCTGGTTATTTCATTTTCTTACAATTTCACACACTCCTACAAAGCACACATCTATGCACTGCTCACGCAGTGTAAAAACAGTATACACGCAGGTTATGTCCAAACAAGGTTTATACATTTTGAAACATTTCACTATACTGTATTGCCCTTCAATAGAGCAATAACCTCTACTGCCAAATACACGCATTGCATTTTAAAACACATGACAAAAAGGCAAACAATGTACCTAAATTAAAGACAAGGTATTCTATGAACTATACATTCTCATAGGTAGAAATATTTGAGTTCTCAGCACTTCAGATTTAGTGATATCTTCCTGAAGTTTAGATCACCTTCCCTGTTCGACTGCTTTTCAGCTGAAGATTGGTTATAGAAATCTTGCATTAACTGCAAGGTTTACTGTCAGTCATTAAAAGATAACAGTGGACAAAAGTCAAACCCATTTACAGAAATTCAATCTTCAGCCATCCACAGCTTTTCTTTTAAGTCTGCAAGGCTGAGGAATGCACTCTTGGTGATAATGCATCTTTTCCAACAAGTAAATATAATGTATAATTGCCAATTTAAAACATGACATATAATTCAACAATGTGAAAATATTAGCCCCATAATCAATTTAACAGAATTGTGTTCTGGACAATCAAGTCTAAGAGTATGGCACATTTTACAAGATTGATGAGTTTATTTTTGTTGCAGTTATCTGCTGCACAATTCACACGCCACACTTCTGATGGATGCAACCTGCAAAGATTTTAAATTAAGGCATAGTCAGATAAGTTTCTATTTACAAGTTTTACACTGCTCTTCTACATTACAGCCAGCTTGATTATACGCACTTGAATCTGCTATTGCGCTTAGTGATGCATTTGAAAAGCCAATATCAGTCTTGCAAAATGTTGATTACAATTGGTTCCATGTGACACAGGTACAGTGAAATCTACATACATGCAATTCTGGTAGGTTATCAATAACAGAAACTGTCTAATTCAGTACTAGTTTGTTCCCATCATGGCACAAGTATACATTCCTGTTGTACATAAGTAATTTATGTTTTTTTAACATTGGATAGAACAGAACCAAACTGCTTTAAAACAAAATGCATCTCATTTTCCAGTATGTATACTATCTCTCCTTTTACACTACAGCTCTCACTGCATGACAAATAATGCTTGGTGCGGCCACACTTTTTATAATTATAAATCCCAAGGGTCCCAATATTTTGTTCCTTGAATCTAGCAATGGCAGTAGAGAGATCAGGGAGTGGAAAAGGCCCAGCTCAAGGCAAGTGGCTACTTTCATTACAATCTAACTGTGATGGTAGGAGTGACAGTATTGGCAAGTCTGTAATGTGAAAAGCAGCATAAAAGACAGCCCTTACATGAGTAACCTTGTCAAACTTGGACATGATCAAATCCCAATTGGGAATAAGGAAGAATGCAAAACCCTTTCCATTAATATACAATAAGCAAATCTAGTTGGGTTTAAATTGATGCTAATAATTTAAGTCCAGGTCAGTGCAACATTAATTTACCCATCTTCCAATACCAAAATAGATTCATTTAATCTAAAGGGCTTCATAGGTGGAGGTTTGAGAACATCAGCAGAACAAAATATTGGCTAATGTTTTGGTAATCTTAAAAAGAAAATGGAAACTGACCTTACATTTATTTGTGGCCAATTAATAAAAGTGCCTGAATATTGTGCTGCTCCTCAATAACTTACATATTTGAAAATGTCCCATCTAGAGTATCACAAAAGGCAATTTAAAAACAAGCATTACCCGTGCAATCTTCCCCCATTCCTTTCTATGGCACCAGCATGAGATTTTTTTTATTTTAAAGGAAAGGTTGAATGTACTCCACAATTCAAATCAGAACTATTTTTTCCTTCAATCTGCTCCCTTACGAGTCCCGTAGTTCCAAATGGCCTCACTATATGCTTCAACCCATTCATAGAAGGGGAAAACAAGACATGCAATGACCTTAACATTCCTAGTGTGGTATCCTGTCAATAAAACATACATTTTAAAAACCACTGTACTGTTTCACAGCTTGCTTGCCTTGAAGTAAAGAGCTTTGTAATCACCACCACTGTGAATTCCTGATGCAGTTTAAGTTAATATTAAGTGTTTAATTCCTCCTCGACAAACTCTTTGCTAATTGAACTAGTAACATTTACTTGCAAAATGGCATTTTTTGGAGTAATGGAATTTTAACAAAACATAGGTCAGTCAAGACCAAATTCCATTTAAGACCAACTTTTTTTTCCCAATAAAAGCTCTTAAGATGCATCAATTGTATGAAAAAAAATCAACTGTGCTGAATGTATAAATGCAGATAGTTCTGACCAAAAATGTTTTAACAAAGTGCTGCCTTGTGTGTAAAATGTTTTCGCTTCCAATTTAATCGATGACAGAACTGATTATTTTCACACAAGGCCAATCCATATGAAAGTTGTCATTGTTACTTTGTAAAATGTGAATTTGAAGCCCACAGATTGCACTTATTGACAAGCATCACAGGTAACAGTGCTTCATATTGACATTATTTATTTCCATATCAATCATGACCTAAAGTTAGTTCAATTCATGCTTCTGAAACCTGAATGCAATGGACGTGCTAATGTACCTTCAGTCACTTTGATGGAACAGTGGATGAAAAGCAATACTTAGTACAATTGGACAAGTGGTTTAATCCTTCAGTTTATAAAATGCAACATCTTTCTCGGATTCTCTTAGCTATGCTTTTCCTTTTCTTCTTGCCATTCTTCTCTTTACTATCTTCCATTTTTCGTGCACGTATTTCCCTCATCAAATCGAAGAAAACCTTGAAAGAAAGAATTGTACAGCATGTTAGTCCAAAGAATTATACATATTCAATTCAGGGATCAACAATTACATGGCTAAAACACACTGATCTCATTAGTTTCAAAGTTTGGAAACAGCAATTGGCTGGAAATACCACAAGATTTGGAATAATTTGGTACTTAATACATCTGACATATAAAGAATGACAAGACCCACAAGATGAAAAGTTGAGTCATTGCCTGTATGTTCCACAGCTAATTTTCATGTGAAGATCTGTGTGCAAAGTAGTTTGGACAGTGTGCAGGTGCACAACGTTGAGGTGGGAGCACATGGTCTCAAGTCCACAGTTTAACGGACCGACAGCATGTTCAGATTCCAATGTTGCCAATGGGTTTAAGAACTCAAGAGTTCTCAAATCTGTTACTAATGATGGACACCAACTTTGTTAATAATGGGAGCAGGAAACCATGGCAGAAGTAAAGGCTAATCATATCTTCCTCCCTTACACCCTTAGGAGGTGCTCACTTCAATATCTTCCTTCAGCCTCAGAGTCTCGGTGCAGTGGCAGAAAACACAGTACAACAATCAACAAATTACATTTATACAGCGGCTTTCACATCAGGGGGACGTCCCATTACATGGAACATGCAGGAGGCCAGAGCCAGCTGAGGAGTGGGTGTAAGCAGGTCAGAGAGGTAAGGAGATGCCAGGAAATTATTTGTATGTGAGTGAGGATTTTGAAATTGATCCGTTCTGCAATAGGGAGCCACGGACCCTGGCAAGGACTGAGGTGATGGTGCAAGTGAGGATACGGGTAGTGGAGTTTTTAAATTAACTGGATTTACTAATGGTAGAGCTGGAGAGCCTTTAGTCAAGTGTGACAATTTATCAAGCTGCCGAGTGATTTTCCGCTAGGTTTCCCAGTAGACTGCAATTCATTGGTTAATGCACAAATCCTATTACATATATTTCTGAAAAGAAATTACAGAGCTGGAAGAATACTCAAGAGAGAATGCACCAACTTCACCTTTGACAAATACATGGACAAATTAAAGGATACCCAGCCAAGAAGTCAGACACTTGGGAAAACGGTTTAAAATTTTAAAGTCAGTGGTTACTAAACCTAGAAGCTCATGTACATGTTCTGTTCACAATCTTCTGTGTAAACTGCAAGATACGTGTTCACAGGGCACAATGTCTCATGAATGCACAGCTTTGGCGATTATATGAATTATAACGATAAGACTTGTCAAGTTTTAGTGCATAGAAATAGATTGCCATAATTCACAACTGACAATTGCATTGTAAATTGATAGGATTAAACCTACATTGCAGGCTGTGAATCTTCACTCTTTCAGGTTTTCATTAGCTACAAGACTATTACTTCTATTGTTTTGAGTCAATATAAAGCACCTGTTATCATTGCATGATCTGAATTGAAAAGTTTTAAACATAGAAACAGTTAGAAAAGATAGAAAATACTTAAACTAGATATTAATATAAAAATATTTGTATTAAAATTGATGCTGTATTTTAGTGAGTTAGTTCTTACAGTACTGGCTATCCTGATGTGATTACAATCTCCATTTCACTCCTGACTGCCCCTTTTGTGCAGACTTTTTCATCGTCCTCTCCTCCCTCAACCTCCACATGACCTTCCCCACCTATATTCATGGTCATGTTGTTGACCTGGTAATTACCCAAGGCCTCAAACTCCAACAAACAAACAACAACAAAATTACATTTATAGAGCGCCTTTCACATCAGGAGGACGTCCCAAGGCGCTGAACAGTCAGGTGTCGGGGCCCGAGCATGGGGGAGGGGTGGTGTAGGGGTGAGGGAAGTCAGAGAGGTGGGAGGGAGACCAAAGGCACGGTTGAAGAGAAGGGTCTTGAGACAGGCCTTGAAGGAGGCAAGGGAGGAAGCGAGGCAAAGGACGTGGGATGGAGTTCTAGAGTGTATGGCTGAAAACCCGGCCACCGATGGTAGGGGGGGGTCGGGCGGGAGACATGGAGCAGGCCAGAGCCTAATGAATGGAGGGAGTGGGCAGGTTGGTAGGGAATCAACAGGTCAGAGAGGTAGGAGGTGGCAAGGCCATGGATGGCCTGGCAAATCGTGAATACATTCTATATAATCCTTGCATTTGATATAGTGCTTTTCACGTCTTCTAGACGTCTCAAAGCACTTCACAGAATAATAATAATAATAATCCTTGCATTTGATATAGCGCTTTTCACGTCAGGAGGACGTCCCAAAGCGCTTCACAGAACACACTGTAAAGTGAATTGACTGTATATTTGTGGGCGAACGCGGCAGCCAATTTCGCACAGCAATGTCCCACAAACAGTCGTAGATTGAAAATGACCAATTTATTATTTTTTTTGATTTTGGAGATTATTATTAGGCGTGTGGAGTAAGGGAACTTGCCCAAGTTTTCGCCATGCCTGGAATTGAACTCAGGTCTCTGAGTAGTTAGAGCAAGTGCTCTAACTACTGAGCTACAGGACTCCATAAAGGTGAGGACAAGGATCTTTAACTCGATCCTCTGGGGCATGGTGAGCCAGTGGAGTCGGACGATTTTCCTTATTTCCCTCACAACCCCTCCCATCTCCAAACCTGACACCGCAGTTTTCCACTCTAGAAAAATGTAATAAAATAATCCCCCACTGCCCTCAATTCCTCTGAAATCCTGCCCACCTCAACCTTCTGCACAACTCCCTTGTGCCATTCTTCATCCTCTATCTTCCTCCTATCATATTATTATCCTGAATTACCCCTTATCCCCACGAGTGTCTTTGGTACAACAGCCACCTCTGCTGTCTAAAGTCCAAGGCCCACGCTGCTGAATGCATGGGGCTCAAATTCAGCCTCACATCCACAGCTAAATCTGGCTACAGCATACGAAGGTCTACCAATGTGCTCTCAGCTCAGTCAAATCCACTTTCTATTTCAGGATCCTCCCGGACGCCAAAGAGAACCCATAGCTCCTATTCTCCCACTGCAATCACCTTCTCCGTGCTCTCTATCCTCACCTCCAAGTTCAAATATGAGGAAATAGTATTCCGAGGGTCCAGAATCAAGCAGATTTGCTCAGCTGCCTCTGCTTCCAGCCCACTCCTTTCTCTCATACCTCTGAATCTTTGTCCCACTCATCTTTCTCATCTTCAATTGCACCTTCATTTTTGACAGAAAAAATAGACCCTGGCAATTTTTTTTTTAATCTGGTGGATTGTAAGGGACCTTAATTTAATCAAATTTAACCAGAGACATATATACCATTCATGTTCTTACCTTATCAACATTGGCTCTTGTTTTTGCTGATGTTTCTACGTAATTCACACTCCATAACTCCGCTCTGCTCTTTGCTTCATCCACCGAGACTTTGCGTTTGTCCTCCAAATCGGACTTATTGCCAACCAGCAAGAAAGGAACATTCTCATCCTCTTTCACCCGCAGAATTTGCTCCCTGGAAAATGTGAATTCAAAATAAACTCTTTAAAATTCTGCTGTCAATAATTCTCAGAAGAACCAATCTACGGTTGTAGATTCTAGTTCCCCTTCCTCTATCTGAACCAGAGCCCCTCTAATGTACTTCCTCTGAAATCTAGTCAGTAGAGATGTTCAGGGTGCACTGCCATGCTCCCTTGGAAGATAGAAAAACAGATCGGTTTGAGGAAATTGGGGTTGGTTGCAATCGTAATCTTTGCATCTTTCACAGCAAGAGGATAGATCTCAAAGCGCTCCACAGGATTTTCTGAAAGGGAAATGCTACTTTGTAGGTGAACACAGCAGCCAATTTGCACACAGCAACATCCCACAAACAGCCATTAAGTGTATAACCAGTTTAACCTGAAGACAGTTGGGTAGGACACTGGGAGAAACTCCCTCCTCTCTTCAAATAGTGCCATGATTTCTTTCCCCTGACATCTCCCTGACCAGACAGGCAGGCAGAACCTTGGATTAATATCTTATCCAAAAGACAGCACCTCTGACAACGCAATGCTCCCCCAGCAATATACTGGATATCAGCCTAGACTATGAGCTCAAAGTCCATGAGGCTTCAACCAATAATCTTCTGACCCAGAGAGGACAGTACTACCAATTGAGCCAGGCTGACACTCATGCAGGTGTAACTTTTAAACAAGTCTTTGGGTTACTTCCTCAGATAGTCATTCTGAATACAGCAATCTTCGGGGCACTGATTTCTGCATGTAACATGGAAGACAGTTATATCCATGAGCAGTTTATTCAAAGCGAGCATCGGTCACATCAACACCATACCAACACAATATCCAACACAATATTGTTACAATCTCACCTACACTATAGGTGGCACCACTGGGAAATATGACCACAAGACATGCATTGGTGTGCTGCTATTTCTTGACTGACCAGTGGTGTCACTGTCATGAGAAGAATGAATAACCTTCAATTATCATGAAATCTCAGAAGATAAAATGCAAACAAAAGGAATCAGGAAATTAGGGACAACATTCAGTTTGAAAGCCTTATAGATTCAAGATTATATCCACTCACTTTTGTCAAGTCTTGCGCTCCCTTCCCATCTTAAACCATTGCAATTAATACAAGCTCCACACATTTCAATTTCAAAATCCAGGAGCCCAAAAGCCTCCACAATGCACTTCCTACAATACGTGCAGGTTATTTTGGTGAGGTGGAGCGAGGGAGGAGGAGAAAAAGAACTAATAAAGGCCAATTCTAGCTACATTATCTGCAAAATCATTCCTGTAAAGGAGAAGGCCTTTAAAGATAGTTTTCCTGCCTCCGTGCTTTTAATATAATGCCTTGTCACTTCATTGAGACATCTCAAAGCACTTCACAGAATATACTGTAAAGTAAATTGACTGTATATTTTTTGGGTGAAATACAGCAGCCAAATGCACACAGTAGTGTCCCACAAACAGTCATGATTTTAAAACTTTTTTTTGAGTAGTTGAGTCAAGTTACTGTGAAGATCTAAGATCTAGCTACATTTATGCAAATGCTGCTTAGTCTTTCCTTGCAACACAAACATTCTCCAATCAACTATTTACAACCAAGTAGAATTGCTTCCACCTTCCATTACTTTTTTTTTCTTTAGGATGGTTTCAAGGTGTATTTTGATGAATTACATTGGTTTGTAGGGGTTGTAATTTGTATTGGTTTGGCTGCATAGAGAACATTCTGATAAAAGTTTGGTAAGAAAACAATTATCCCTCCTGTGACACTGGTGCTTCCTCCATTTTAAACTGAAGGACACCAATGTCAAGTCAACAATGTTCATCGCCACATATGGATGAGATGTTAAACCAAGGTCCCATCTGCCTGTTCAGGTGGATGTTAACAATTCTGTGGCACTATTCAAAGAGAGAAGGGAAATTTTCCCAGGGTTATATCAAATACAAGGATTATCATTGTAAATCCAGAATTGTGTAAATTTCTATTTGCAATTGCTGTTCCATTTTTTATAAAAAAACAGAACTTAATAATAATAATGATATAGCGCCTTATCACGTCATTGAGATATCTCAAAGTGCTTCACAGAATATATTGTAAAGTGAAAAATGCAATTGCGCACAGCACTGTCCCACAAACAGTTGTGGATTAAGTGACCAAATTTGTTGTTGAGGGATTATTATCCGCAGAAAGCAACCTGTCAAATGACTAACAGCCAGCTTCCTACTTACTGTTAGGTAAACAGAGGCGTACAAAGTAAGGAAACTTGCCTGAGGTCTCACCTGGAAACATGTTGATGTTTTAAAGTTCAACAGATGTTTGCTTATTATCAGTGTACTGTAGGAATAAAAACTCAGATGTTCCTACAACAACTTAGATTTACATAGCGCCCTCCACACCAGACGGCGTCTCACACTGATCTTAGAGCCTGAACCATCAAATTAAGACCTTCATCCATGAAAACCTCCAAGAGGAGATTCGATATCCTGTGATGCAACGCCTTTGCACCACCACATCCTCCTCCACCACTTGTCCTCCCACCTCAACCTTCAGGCCCTGTCCTTGAGTGGTTTAGGTCCTACCTCTCCCACCGTCTTCATTTTGTTTCCACAAACGGCTTTTCCTCCGGCCCCCGCACTGTCTCGTGCAGTGTCCCTCAGGGCTCTGCCCTCGGTCCCCTCCTCTTCACCCTCTATATGCTCCCCCTCGGTGACATCATCCGCAGACATGGGGTTAACTTCCACATGTATGCGGATGACACCCAACTCTACCTTTCCTCCTCTACCCTCAACTCCACGACCACCGATGTCCTGACAGCTGCCTGTGCGACATCGAGTCCTGGACAAGAGACAACTTTTTTCAGCTCAATGTGCGCAAAACTGAGGCCCTCCTGATTGGCTCACGTCAGCGCCTCCGCACCTCAGGCGCTGACACCATCAGCATCCAAGGCTGCACTCTCCACCTCTCAAAGTCAATCAGGAACCTCGGGGTTCTGTTCGACCCTGAGCTGTCCTTTCTCCCTCATATCCGCACCACAACTGGCACCGCCTTCCATCACCTCCGGAACATCGCCAGACTACGGCACTACCTCACCTCTCACGCTGCTGAAACCCTGGTCCACGCCTTTATCACCTCAAGACTGGACTATGGGAACTCTCTCCTCATCGGCCTTCCCGCCACCTCCCTCCACAAGCTGCAGGTCATTCAGAGCTCTGCAGCTCGTGTACTGTCCCGCACCAGGCTTCGCGACCACATCACTCCACCCTCGCTCACCTCCACTGGCTCCCCATCCCCCAGAGGATCAAATTCAAGGCCATTCACAGCCTTGCTCCCTCAACAACAACAAGATTCCATTTATAGAGCGCCTTTCACATCGGGAGGACGTCCCAAGGCGTCATCCTACCTCTCCGACCTACTATCCCCCTACTTACCTGCCCGTACCCTCCGTTCCTCTGGCTCCGGTCTGCTCCACATCCCCCGCCCCAACTGCCCTACCATCGGTGGCCGGGCCTTCAGCCTCTCAGCCAGCGCCTTGGGACGTCCTCCCGACGTGAAAGGCGCTCTATAAATGAAATCTTGTTGTGTGTCTATTGTACACATTTCTGGCTCTTCTAAGGTACAAAAAAAATCTTTGTAGAAGTATGAAAAACAAGAGATAACCATTGGCTGTATTTATCTGGTGAACGATAACTTGTACTTATAAAGTGCCCTTAATGCGCGTCTTGGAGCACAAAATAGCGATGTGGTTTGGTGCTGAGCAATTGTTGTTATCCAATGAACAGATCTGATACAATAAATCAGTTTCATAATGGAGATTTTAACCATTGTACCATTACTCTCATGAATTCCCTCCAAAAATCCCTTCTCACTTTCTCCTGATTTAAAAACTCCTAAAATCCTTCAACCATGTTGTTGTCACCTCCTCATACCCCACCCTCCCTCTCACTCAACGATTAACATTAACCATGTAACACACTTAGCAATATTATCTTATGTGAAAGGTGTTACGTAAATGCAAGTTATTGTTTTTGTAAACTATTGCTCATGTGGTTCATTTGAGCCCACTTGTTTGGTCCAATAGTATTCCAAAAAGCGTGTTGCATTTAACCTGCATTCTGAACACAAACAGCTAAATCAGAACCACTGCCATACCCTCAGAATAAATAAACCAAAGGTTAACACAAACTTAATGCAAATGTGAGAATAAAGGAATCAAGTGTTCATTGAATTACCTGAAATCAGCAGTAGCTGCAAAAGATTCTTGCTCAGTGATGGAGAAAACACAGAGGAAGCCTTCTCCACTGCGAAAGTAGTTATCTCGAATTGCAGCATAGTCTTCTTGGCCAGCAGTATCCAAGATATCTATTTGGACTTCCTCACCATCCAGCACCACTTTCTTCCGGTAGCTGTCTGCTTTCGTAGGCTCATAATCTTCCACAAACTAGAAATTAAAACAAAAATACATATCATGCCTACAGTATAAATCTTTAAAAGCATTGATTAAAAGCAGAATGTTGGTTTGTTGCATTTCCATAAGATATTCAGATGAAATAGCTTCTATACATTGTTCAGTTTAGTTGGGACCACTCTCAACTGAGCCAAGATGGATTTTTTGGGGGTCAGCTGGGTGTCTAACACAAGGGATTCCCACATCCTCAGGCCTTTCCCGGCACATCTAATATTCACACCACTAGTGTTTATGGTAAAAGCCAGAGAAAGTTCCGTAGCTGTCTATTCACAGCAGGTTGTGTAAGGCTCAACCATGGGGTTTTGTGCTGCTCTCGATTCAGCAAGAGGGTAACCCAAGATCTGTTGAAGGTGGCATTCCGTCTCTGTGAACGATATGTACGATTTAATTCTCTGAAATCAGCAATAGCTACAAAAGATTCTTGTTTAGTAGAGAAAACACATATTTCGCCCACAAAATATACAGTTAATTCACTTTACAGTATATTCTGTGAAGTGCTTTGAGACGTCTCAAAGACATGATAAGGTGCTAATCAAATGCAAGGATTATTATTATGTATGCCTTGCATTGACAGCAACTATGGTAGTGTCTTTATCTAGGCTGTTACTATCAGATTGAAAATGGGTCACACATCTGCTTCCCACTCATTTATTGTCAGAACAAGCAATTTGGATCTGTATTGACCAATGCTTGGTACAATTTTCTTTCTCCACATTTGTGTGCATTCCAGCAATTTTCCTCACATGGCAAATTTGTTGTGCTGTCAGCAGTGGTTGCCAGATATACTCAGCACAAAGCGATGGACCCAGTCATCCTAGGCCACAGTATGCATTTTACACCTCATGGCAGGACCTACAAAAGCCTGAGTGCGGAGATAGAGACAGTATAATGTATTTACATCTAGGCTGTACAGAAGTCCTGGTATTGAGGACAGGGTATTGAAGAGGAAAGGTGCACTGCAGAGCATAAATGCATCCAGCAGTTGAGTCACATGCTACAGTATCAAGAATATTATTTGTACAATACAATTTACATCTACAATTTACATTGTAGCTCAGTGGTTAGAGCACTGAGACCTGGGTTCGATTCCCAGCAGGGTGAAACATTGGGTAAGTTTCCTTACTCCACACGCCTCTGTTTACCTATCAGTAAACAGGAACCCGGTTGTTAGTTGTTTGGCGGATCGCTTTTCCGGGGGTAATAATTCCTCAAAAAAATTTATAATAAAATGGTTACTCAATCCATGACTGTTCATGGGACACTGCTGTGTGCAATTGGCGTTTTCGTCCACAAAATATACTTTACAGTATATTCTGTGAAGCACTTTGAGACGTCTCGAAGACATGATAAGGCGCTATATCAAATGCAAGGATTATTATTATTACATTTATACAGCACCTTTCACTTCAAGAGGACATATTAAAGTGTTTAACAATGTTGAGCACCCAAGCTAGGGGTGGAGAAGGGAAAGATAATAATCCTTGCTTTTATATTAATAAAACTTGCACCTTTTCATATTGTCAAAGTACTACACAGGATATACTGTAACATGGGTTGACTGTGTATTTGTGAGCAAGAGGTTAAGATCTGCTCAAGATGATGTTCCCTTTCTGTGAACGATCTGGCTTACGTTCACAGCACCTAAGGTTGGTTGATCATTCTACTGTGTGTTTTGATTACACTTTGAATGAGTGTGTGGTCAAAGATGAAGTTTTGACATGTGCCCTGAACATGGGGCAGGAGAGAGGGAGCATGCAAGTCAGAGGGACTCTGGGATGGAGTTCCAGACCTGTGATTTATACCCATTACTTCATAGGGGAATCACTATCCTGTTGTCTCAATGACCTGCACTAAATATTTTAATAAGAATTATGCAGTAAAGAGCAGCTTTAATCCCACACATTACTTCATTCAGACAACAAGTTGCCAATAGCATACAGTTATATAGTTACAACATGATGTAATAACAGCCTCAGCCCCCATTTTATAAAAGTGTGAAGAAAGTAACACCACAGCTCAAATCAGAGTGCAGTGCATCAGATTCTGCACTACAGGACCTTGCAGCACCCTGCAGCAAACTGGGGTAGCCCACCATTTTCTCACCCGCCCCCCCCACACACCAATCAGCCGGATGTTTGACCCATCACCGTACTTAAGAGTATCCAAACTAAGCTGAGATTTCCATGCATCCCACCTAAACATGGAATTCCAGGTATTTATTGGGATGGATTGTGCACTCTGCCTGGAGGGACATAACCTGTTTACCCAATTCCAGAAAGTATTACAACAACTTGCATTTATATTGCCCCTTCATGCCTTACAGCATCTCGGAGCGTTTTATTAGGCGTAGGTTTGTAATAGCCAAGGCTCGGAGACCCCAGAGTGTGTATTGGGGTACTGTTGGAGTCTAACTAGCTAAAACTGCATAGCTTGCCATTAATATTGCTGTCCGGCAAGCTATCTTGCTGCTTGTCAAGCTAGGACCAGCGTACCTGTTAGGGTTTTGGCTTGCACAGGTAACAGAATCTGAATGGGATGACTCCCTGCTCCCATTGACTGGTCTGCCCTTCCGGGTCCTGCCGATGAGCCAGGCTGATTGTACTGTCAGCAGCAGTACCCTGGAATACTGCAGACCTGCCTGGCTCAGGAACCGGACTACCGAGACGGCCACAGAGGGCTGGTTCGATTCCAACATTCCATTGCCAGGCATGTCATCTTGGAGCCAGTTCAAGGAGACACCGCTAACCTCCCCCCTGACCCCCAAGGAGGATAAGGAACTTACCCCCATCAGCAGGCACCCCCATCAACAAGCCCATTCACAGTTTGCCCATCACCCTACACTGATAGACTACTTTTTTTTTCTAAATGTTCAACCAAATTGTTCTCAACATGGAACCAGCAAGATTGTCCACAATGGTGCTATCCAGTCCTACACATTCCTATAGGATTATAGCTTTTTATAATTAATAAAAAATATTCTGTCTCTGCATTAATTTCAAATCAAACATGAAAGCAATGCTAACTGATGCATTTATTTGGCATTCAGATGGTTTTCATCATGTTCAAGACATTTATTTTTGCTTACCTCATCGTACATGAACTGCAGTGTTAAAGCTGACTTGCCCACTCCACCACTCCCAACCATAATGACTTTGTGTAAAGCCAAGGAATTCTGGCCTTTGGTCTTGTTTGCCGCCATCTTTTGAACGGAAATATTTCACCAGAATGTTGATCTTGACTGCCAGTAATCTAGTCCTAAAATAAAGGACAATTTACAACCTTGTATATATTCTGATTTACATTCTAATTTTATACAACACTGTTAACATCCGATATAGTTATCAAAGCAATTTTATTAAAATTCTTGAATTTAATATAGCACCTTTTACATTGAGAGGACATCCTAAAATGATTTTCAGGAAATATTGTAGTGCAGTGACTGTACTTTAGAGGTGAATATAGCAGCCAATTTGCACTCAACAAAGTCCCACAAACAGCCATGAAAAGAATGACCGTGTTTACTGGAGGATTGTTGGCCAGGACACTGGGAGAAACGTTTTCCCACTTTTTTTTTTGAATAGTACCATGAGAACATTAACTTCTACCTGGCAGGCTGGACCTCAGTGTAACATTTCACCAAAGGATGCCATCTCCAACAATGCAGTGCACCTTGAACACTTCATTGGAGTTAGCCTAGAAGAGTTCAAAGTACTGACATGGTATTTGGACCTATAATCTTCTGATTCAAGAGGCAAGTATGCAGCAAATCAAGCCGGGCTGAAACTTACACACAAAGTAGAATGACCAATTGAGAAATGATAGAGAAAGAATGAGGAAGGGGCAAGAGGGGAAGAAAAATCAGACCTCATGACCTCAAGCAACTCTCCTATCCTAGCAGCAAATTTCAAACGATATTTTACCTTTAGTCAGAATTGGGAACCTGGATTTTCACAGCATATTCTTCAAAATTGTCTGTTCCAGGCATCCGATGGTGTAATGGATAGTGCTGCAGTTTACAGACCAGGAACTCACTAGTTTGAATGCCAGTCTATGCTGAGTTTGCTAGTTACAGCCAGGAGGTTAGATTGGCCCCAGCCTTCCCAAGGTTAGAGATGTGGAAACCAGACAGTGTTCTTGCTTCTCGGGTACTTTAGAATACATTAGAATATGCAGCACAGAAACAGGACATTCGACCCAACTGGTCTATACCGTGTTTATGCTCCACATGAGCCTCCTCCTGCTCTTCCTCAACTAAGCCTTCAAGCATAACCTTCTATTCCTTTCTCCCTCATGTACCTATCTAGCTTTCCTCTAAATACATCTAATGCTATTTGCCTCAACAACTCCTTGTGGTAGCTGTTCCACATTCCCACTACTCTCTGTGTAAAGAAATTTCTTCTAACTTCCCTATTTGATCTATTTGTGACTATTTTATATTGATGGCCCCTGGTTTTGGTCTCCCCCACAAGTGGAAACGTCTTACCTATGTCTACCCTATCAAAACCTGTCATAATTTTCAGGCCACCACTTACCCTCCTCTTTTCAAGAGAAGAGTCCAAGCGTTTCAGCCTTTCCTGATAGATATAGATGGATCCCCTTCAGCACCCTCTGCTTGTGGTGTACATGAGGAAGCTGGGTGGGAGAGATCAGGCTCAGTGGTAATGAGTGGTCAGGGTAGCCAGTGCCATGGAACTGAGCCCCAACAACAGGAGGCTGGGCCCCAAGAGCAGAGAGACAATTCGAAACATATTTGGACACCATTTTTTTTAAAAAAGCACTTCTTCCAATGGCTCATCTCATATTATAATAATACTTGTATTTGATCTAGCGACTTATCACATTGTTGAGAAGTCTCAAAGCACTTCACAGAATATATTGTAAAGTGAAATGACTGTATTTTGTGGGTGAAACGCAGCAGTGTCCCACAAACATTCGTAGATTAATTTTTTATTTAATTTTAAGGGATTATTATCCCCAGAAAGCAATGTACCAATCAACTAACAACTGAATTCCTACTTACTGTTAGGTAAACAGAGGTGCTCGGAATAACGAAATTTGCCTAAGATTTTGTCCCACCCGGGGATCAAACCTGGGCCCTCTCACTTGCGAGGCAAGCATGCTAACCACTCTGCTAAGGGACTCCTTAATCATAAATGTGGGGATCAAACAACTTTAAGATTGAAGCTACACAATAAGATCTTTATTTGCTTGAATATAAATGGCAGTAAGCACACAAGGACAGTGGAGCACAGGTTACATAGCTTCTATAGATCAAAACAGCAGCCACCAACAGAACTAAACTTACACTATCAATATCATTCTCTGCTCAGTAGAGGTATATTGGACTGAGAAAAGCAAAGCAAATTATAAACCATCATTCCATTTGTCTGGAATGAATTCTAGCTCACAAGACTATATTTACTATAAACAGATATTTTTAACCTGTTTGTTATGTAACTACTGCTAGACCTTCCTTGGAACAGTTAAGCATCAGCAATGTGCTGCAAGTGCCTTCCTTGGATCAGTTGCTGTGCATACTGCTTCATTTGCATCGGTCGATAAGTTTGCTGGTTCACAGGAATTCAGTGTAACTGCTGAGGTCTGGAAGGTGAGAAAATAGTCCTTTCACAGGCCTGACCTGTCGGTGCTGTTGGTCACACATCCAATGAACTTGAACCAGTGGTTACATACAACTTAAAAGTTTACGTTCACAAACTAGGCGTATGCAGTCATGCAGTTTTATTGCACACTCAACTCTGGTTCAAAGGGATACAAAACCCACATTTCATAGGGAAGCAACTTTTGTACCATTGAGAGGTTACTTTTGCACTAAACAGAAGTTTACAACAGAGATAAGAGTTTACAATTTCAGATTCATATTGCCTCCACCCTACTTCGGAAGTCCCACATACCACAAGCTTTTCCCCAAGACAGCACTCAGGCAACCTGCTTCCTACTTGCCACACTTCTTTAATCAAAAGTTGTGCAACAAAAGTTCCAGATAGAAGTGTCTAACCTCCATTTAATAGTCAAAGTCAAGAGGTTTATTACAGGCTTTGGTAAATGATTCGGCCTGGAATCAGAAATAAACACAGAGGGAGGGGAGAAAAACAGAAAAAAATGGGAGTCTGAATTGAAGAATGCAGCTCAGCAGAAAGGAAAATGCTTTGCTTGGATAAAGCTTTAGAGCCGCATAGATTAAGGGCAGCCCTAATTAACATTACATTCGCTTAAGAGAATTAAAAACAAGCCTACAATAAATATTGAAATTCCTATAAGACACCTTGAAAAGATTAGCTCACCTTCCCCCATGGTCATTTTGTTAATGAAATTGTTATTGCAGTAGTTATTCTTGGTGTGCTCACTTCTATATTCTTTAAATATTGTTCAGTATCGAAATACACAAATAAACAGTCTCTATCACTCAGTGTGATAGACCACTGGAATCCTTTCTGTTAGTGACTGGCATTACATAGAAGCAACGCAAACACATGGTCTTTCTTCAGTCCTGGTTTGATTTTAAACATCACTATCCAAACAGGTTCTTTTAGGCATCATATTAAAAATATTTTGAAGGATGAAATATATGTTTAACATCTCATCTGAAGAACGACACCTCCAACAACACAATTCACCCTCAGGACTGCTTTGGAATATTAGCCTAGACTATGGGAGTTCAAGTCCCGACTGACCGAAAATAAATTTAGTGAGAGGGTGATTTCCAAATGTATCAGATAGAAATTTCTTTCAAAAAGTTAGATTTGAATACAGCAATAAATTACATTTGTATAGGGCCTTTCACGTCAGGAGATTGTCCCAAGGTGCTGGATAGTCAGGGATCTGCAGCGGAGCTGGTGGTTGGGATCAGGAGGGATGGAGGGCAGGGAGTGCAGGAGTAGGAGGGTGACGGAAGGCATGGTCGAAGAGGAGGGTCTTGAGACGGGTTTTGAAGAAGGCAAGGGAAGGGTCGAGGTGGAGGGACTGTGGGGTGGAATTCCAGAGGGTGGGGGCAGAGGGAGCGGGCAAGGCGGGGGATGTGAAGCCCAGCCCGTTGAGCAGAGAGAGCAGACAGGTTGGTAGGAGGTTAAGAGGTCATGGAGGTAAGGAGGAGCAAGGCCGTGCAGGGCTTTGAAGGTGAGGACCAGGATGTTGAACTGTATTCTCTGAGTGACGGGGAGCCAGTGGAGTCGGGCAAGGATGGGGGTGATTGGGTCGCAGAGCAGGAGAGGACACAGGCTGCAGAGTTCTGGATGAATAGTTTAGCCTCAATGTTTACACTTAAGCACACACGGTAGATGAAAAATTGAGTAGAACAGAGCATTTCGGAATCAGAAGAAATAAAAGTTCCTGTCGCTCATGTTAGATTCTGCACACATACCCAGGAGTGGTTTAGCTTCTAACCAATTTCTTTGTTAAACGCTGAACAGTTAATTTTGATGCACTCTTTGGATAATCAGGATCTAGAAAGGATCAAATGATAAATTTTGATGTGGAAAACTTTCTCGGATTATCAAATGACATCAAAACCTAAATCTTCAAAAGTCTGTTCCAATAGGTGTAAAAT